TGTGCCAACGTTGCTGGCAGTGGCAGCACTTGTTGGCAGTGCCAGAACCTGGCTGGCAGGGTTATCAATGCTCTCTGATGGTCTCCCACAATCACAGTGGAAATGACAGTGGCTGCTTGCGTCATGGCAGATAACAATTTGCCCGACTATAGCTCGCATTCACTGTTATTTCTATTTCCATGCTCACTCTGACAGATATGAAAACGTATACCCAACCAAATCTACAGCAAGCGTCATGTGTTGTCTCTCAAAACTATTTTGATAATAAAAATGTTATGTATTTAGCTCTGAATTTTCCCAATGTGTTAAAAAAAAACATGACTTTGTAGATTTTGGTGACCTTGCTACTACAGGTGACATCATGTGAAATGAGCAACGGATTTGACCAAAAAGATTGATACTTGTTTTTGTACATTTTACTACATCACAAGTAGTAACACTGTAATAAAATAGTAATGGCCCAGGAATATTGTGTTGTTCTATTCATCTTTATTGTCATGCACCTTACTTGATTAACACAAAGTAATACTGCAGTACCCTGTTGATGAATGCAGTATGAATTTGGCAGTTGGAACATTTTTGACATCTCTGTACAACCCAACCTACGTTTATTGAATTGTGATATACACCTGGCTCTGGTTTGAACCTTCGACAGTAAGGTTTTAACATTGGAGTATACAGTATGAGTTTCCTATGACAGGCCACAGACATGGGACAGCATCACTTACCGACAGCACAGACTCACTGTTTTGAAAGTGACTGACATTGAGCTAGGTGTTGTTGTTTATTCAAGACAGTGTTCCACCTCAACTTGATACCGCTAACTCTTACCTTGCTCTGTTTACTTCCTGCTCAAACGTTTTTCAGCAATACATTAATTGGGAATCCAGTAACTCAGGTGCTCTTTCTATCAAAAAACATCAAACACTCACATTGTTATATGATAAAGAGGTCATCTGCTGGGTCAATCCTTATAAAGCTTGAACACCATAAAGCATGACCTTCTTGGCGTAAAACTCCTTAAACAGGTCTGAACTAAGAGTTTCCCTGAGCTCAATGTATCTCATCTCTAGGAATCATCTCTCAGGAATTTAAGAGAAACCCCCTTTTAAAGAGTTGACCTTTTTATCATGAATCTTTTCCCCTCACACATTTCCTTCTGCTCACCTCTATGTGTGTTATTGACAAAACAACCGTTATTTTATGTGTGGGAGGAGATTTATGATTTGGCTTAACTAGGAACTAGGCCTTACCATGATTTATGATTAAATACTACAATATATGCAACATTTTGTTTCTATATGCAGCATTTCCTCTGTGTTTGACCACAGAGGTAGGCAATCACTGCATATATAGAGTTTGTTTTTATGGTTTGCAAGGTATTCATGCTTCCTATTTTGGTTGGTTTCCTGTTGAGCATTTTTTTCTGAATCTGGACTGCCTTGATTTCATGTTGTGTTGACAACATGCCTGATATACTGTACCTAATATCTTGGTCTGTCTCTGTACCTAGTTTACACCACATTTGTTTTTGTTTATTGTCCCCTGCTGACAATCTTTTCATGTAGAATAGTGTTTTATCTCAGGGTATGCAGGATAACTGTAATGATTTACACTCTTTGATTCTGTGTGACAATTGATGTAATCTCTATGTTGTTTGTGCAAACATATGTTTTATAGCAGTGCTGTGCTATGCACACTCCCGTTTGAGCGAGAATAATTGTATTGTGTTGTATATAGTAATAGACAGCAACATTGCTTTCCGTTATAGACAATACTTTGATCAACAGAAGTTGTAAGGCACCTGCCTTGACAGTGATGTCCTTGAGGTGCGCCTCTAGGGTCTTGGGAAGGTCGCACTCACTCTCTCCTAGTCCCCCCTCTCTCCTGTACGAGGTTAGGACAGTGTCATATTTGTGGTCAGGCGCTGTCAGTACCGTAATCCGATATTTTTAGTAGTAGCGGATTGGCTATGCTCTCCATTGCGTTGTCACCTGTGTGTAGGGCTGCTCGTAGCATGTGTGCAATGAATGCACCGTGTACATAAGCTATTTAGAAAGGCACCAACATAGCTTTTGCTCACCATCCTCTACTTCTATGATGCGTGCTGTAGCAATAAGACATATTCAGCCAGTGAGGCACCTCTAAGTGATTTGAAAACACAGTTTAACAGGCTTGTGTTGACACCTAACAGATATGATCTCTTTTCAATAATCATAATATCGGATTCTGGCATTATTATGGTAGGCTATTATTCATCTTATTATGGGAAAAGTTCAGGAAAATAATAGTAACCATGTCATAAACAAACAGCCAATTATAATTCGGGATACCAATTTTGTTTGTTTGTTTGTTTATTTATTTGTTTGTACAATAATAATAGCTTACGGGTCGAGTAGCCTACTCAGGACTGACGTAGATCAATAGCCAAAATGGCATGGGAGTTATTCTATTGTGTTCTCTCAGATAGCATATCATTGATGCGCGGTTTAAATCGGCCTATTTTAACAATTTCCACATGGTCCTCCTGTAGCATATATAATGTCCATTCGCATAGCATCCTGAAAATGTATAGCCGATGCGCGCCTCTGTGTATGTGCATGTCTGTGTGTTATTCAGTAATACATGCAGAACCGCCTCACTCTAATCAAGCTGATTAAAAATTCCTGCGCGCACAGCCGGAAATCGCACCATCCTCTGTTTTCTTTTCACTTTTTACTTTATTTTCGGTTCTCAACTCTGCCAGGACATCGGCTGTCGCGGGTGGCTGCCTTCAAGACTCGACATGCGGGTTAAATCGTCTTGTTTTGGGGGTATTTTGTTTTGAAATGAGGAGGAGAAAGGGAAAGCACAGGCAGCACCAGCAAGGGGAGTGATGAGTCAATACAACTCATAATTTAATGGGGACACAGAGGGGGAAAGAGAAAGAAAGAAGAGCTCCGTCCGGACGCAAATCAAACCAACAGAAAGAACACATATCGCAAGCAGCTGTTATGCATCCATAGCAAGCCTTAACTCGACATTGGAAAGTAAATCGCACTTTTTAACATGGGTCTGCATATCGTTGCGCCATCGTCTCTACATGAGATAGCAGATCATTGTCGATCATTTTTTTCTATCGGACAGTAGAGAAGCCGAATTTATTGAATACACGTTATTTTTGTATGCGTTTATACATCAGGATGGTTCGCGACTGGTAGAAATAACAGATTTCATCACGGCTTACCACTATCCGATGTTCTATTCACGAACGACTGACTGATAATCGTGGTGGATGCGTTGTGTTAACTCGTTGCACTTGTAACCGATGGACTATGCTCGAGGCAGTTATCTAGTTTATTGTATCAGGTGTTATTTTTCTTCGCTACTTCTAATAATACGTAAGAATGACTATTTTTCCAGTGAGCAAATAATTAGATGCATTTAGGCTATACTGTACATACTTAATTGCTTACCAATGTTATCGCATCCCAGTCTGTCTCGACGTCTTCTCTTATATAGATTTGGGTTGTTCTTTTGTATATCAACCTTTCATCTCTCAATAGAAGAACACATTTCTGTAGAGGACCTATCATTTAAACCTAGAAAGCATCAGACATTGAAGTTTTCTTTCCCCTGACAAAAGTTGAAGAAGGCAACGTTCTCCAAGACTGCATTATATGCTTTCGAGTTTTGAAGTGCTGAGTTTCAGGTTGGTTTGCCCTAAATGTAACTTCACTTGTGTTTTGCACTCTTGCTTGTCTTTTTTAAAGGTCATTCAGAAATCCTGCCCAGGATCGCCACCATATCCGGGTCTGGATTCTGTTGCCCCCCTATTTCAAACAATTAGTTGCTTCATTGCATATCGTCAATGAGATAGTTCATGATCATTGTGTGCTGGTTGGAAGGTGGGGGTACATTATTTTGACCTGTTCAGTTTTTGTTTAAATATTAAAAAGCCCTTTCTATTGCACAATGTATACACTGTATAATAACCCATCTGAATGTAGCCTTATTTTTTACCAAAAAGAATGAAACACCATAACAGATAATTATTCAAAGGTTGCTAAAGCAAATGGTGTGTATTAGGTGTCCTGGAGAGTCTGTCAAGGTGTTGATTGTGTGCTTCCTGCAGTCAGTGCCTGTGGCTGTGTATGTGTTTGCAATAATCAGATGTAACCGGCATGTCAGACTTCACTTCACCTTGCTTTGCTCTGTCCACATTCTTTTTTCTGATTACACTTTTACTTTCTGATAGGCTCAAAGGTATAAAAAGTCAGCATCTTTCCAATGGTACTGCTTTCATTCAGTTTTACCTCACATTTTGTATTGTCTTCTCTTAAATTTAGAGATCAATGTAAAGAGACCTCCTACATCATTTTTCTTCCTTATATCATGTCCTGTTTAGGCACGTGATACCACTCTGTCATAACAATGTTATTTAGGTCCTTTGCCTTTTTATGCATTTTCCCCACAAAGCCTGTCTGGTAATTTTTTTATTTGAGTGCTGAAAGTGACTCAGGCTGAATATGTTAGCTCTACTCTCTCAGCCTTCACTTCACTGTTGCAGGGATTGTGGGCTTGTGCTGTGAACTGCAGTAATCATCGGAGTGGAATCTCTCTGCAAATTAACGTGTTTGCACAAAAATGGGCTTGTTTGCCCACCACATGGGAATCCGTAGTGGGACAGACATACATAATAAATGCTCTGAAAAATGGGAACATTACGATGGCACGAAACATTGTGAGTGCCAGGTAATGAAATAACAAAATTGGCAGTTATTGTTGTAACTGTTATGTATTTGTTATGTACTTTTTCCTGTAGATAGATGTTCATGTTGACAAGTTATCACCATCTTTTTTTGTCAGCTTTTTAATGTCAAAACAATCAACCCTAAAAATATTATTTGGCATACTTCATATCATGCATTTGAATATGATGTGCTTACTGTGTGTCCATGAAACCCCCCTTATGTCCTGCTAGTTAACACCCAGACTGTGTCCCTGTCTTATCTCCTCCCAGGTGATAGTGAGCAGAGGTGCTGACAATGATGGACCATCTCAGCGAGGCGTGCCTGGGGAAGGAGAACTGTGACCTGGTCAACAGCATGGGCGACCGCGACTCCAAGGCCCCCCCAGCCAAGCTGGCCCGGCTGGAACAGAACGGTAGCCCCCTGGGCAGGGCCCGCCTGGGCAGCACGGGGGCCAAGCTGGCCGGGGTACCCTACAAACCCTCGGGACACCTCCTCAAGACCTGCCACAAGAGGGGTGAGTGACACTGGTCAGGTTGGTGTGTGTTTATGTGTGTAAGTGGGTGAGAGAGCACAATATAAACCCTCAGACACTTCAAAAGGACCCTCAACATTTTTACATTTTAGTCATTTAGTAGACGCTCTTATCCAGAGCGACTTACAGTTAGTGAGTGCATCAATTATTATTAAAAATTTAATTTAAAAAATCATACTGGCCCCCTGTGGGAATCGAACCCACAACCCTGGCGTTGCAAACGCCATGCTCTACCAACTGAGCTACATCCCTGCCGGCCATTCCCTCCCCTACCCTGGACGACGCTGGGCCAATTGTGCACCGCCCCATTGGTCTCCCGGTCGCGGCCGGCTACGACAGAGCCCAAATTATGGCCTGTGTGTTTTTGCAAAATGAGAGAGAGGTGGAATGTTGTAAGTGTGGTGTGTGTGCTGTCTGTGTTTAGAATTGTCATGTCTTCATGGTTCACAAGTGTCATGTTGTCATGGTTTTGTTTCCGTCTTCCTGCACAAACCGATTTAAATGTCCCTTAGTCATCTTGGTGCATACACCCACACTTAGGCCTATCTACGAAGACCCATTGTTTATACAGAGGCCGTTTGAGAATTATTATGGTGTTATTCTGCATAGCGCTGCATCACTGTTTCTCTCCTGTTGTTGTTTATTGAAGAGAATTTGGGTCCTTTAAGAGCCATTGCCGCTTAAGGGGCCTTTATTTTGTGATGATGACATACCTTTTTTATGTAACTACTGGCCTGGTCATTACATGAATAATATTAATATTTTATGACTTTCTAGGGCTAGATACGAGCATTCAGACCTGCAGATGTTCATGAGGATTTTATTAGTGGTTGGCTGTTAAGTCTCATCTGTTTGTTTGATGGTGTTTGGTGGGGACTTTTAAACCATAGAATGTCGCGTTGAGTGCCATGATGGCCCGTTGCTCACCAGCTGAGAAAGTTTAATTTTCCTCCTCAATAATCATCCTCAGGCCCCGCATCACTCTGTCCTCCCGTTTTTCAGAACGTTCCAGCATATTTTTAGCCTTTTTCGAGAGGAAATTGTGAAATTTATAGAAGTGTCTGTTGCTGAAGTTTCGCATGGCCACAGTGGGCATTGTTTGAGCTGAATAATATTTACCATGGGCTTTTCTCCTCACCATGAAAACAAAGGCTGCATTGATCCCCAAATGAACCTACACAGCAGTCTTTATTGTTAGATCTCTATCTATTAAAATCAGGGAGAGAAGCAGCGTTTCAGCACATTCCCTGGCATCTGCTGGTGATTACCCCGTTTATTGATTGTTTGTCAGAGATGTTTGCATCTTCAGGATGCCGGCCATTAGAAATATGGTTCTTTGCAACTGCTCAAACTGAGTTGATGAATAATGTGCTGCATATCATCACCACTGAAGGCTATAGAGGAACATTTTAACCAAAAAATGTTATGATGCTCTGAAACTTAAGTCACCGAAATAATGTGAAATTTGCACAGTGCACCCCAAACACTCAACGTCTTTAGACAAGGATTCCTCGTTTTCTACCTAATAGCAGTGCAGTGTTTACACAGACTAGTAAACCTCAGGGCGCACCGGAGTGTTGGGATTTGGAGCGGTGCATCATGGGAAGGTGATATGGGGTTGACAGCAGAGGCAGAAGCAGTCTAATGTGATCTGAGCTCCTTGACAATGAATCAACAGATCACAGCCAAAATGTGGTCGAAAGCTGAGATAGGCCAAGATTCATCTTAACAACATTCGATTTATTTAGACTTTAGTTCAAATCGAATAATGATATCATTAATAATGGCTAAGGACATTGAAATCATTACTCTAATCATGATGTCATTGATCATTATTAAATAACTAAAATCACAGTAGCACCACATCTACTACCCCTACCACTACTAGTTCTAACAATGTGAATAACGCTAATAAGGAAATTATTATAAAAAACAATGCAATATTAATCATTATGCTGTCACTTATAATACGAATGGCACTGGAATTCATTCATTCATGAATAGAGGTAGTCTGACTGTATCAGCTGTGTCTAAATGTAATATTAATCCCCCCATTGAAGGTCACCATTTGTCATGTCTGAGCCCCCACTGTGTTGCTCTGTGTCTCTCCAGGCAACATGCTCCCTGTGTTCTGCGTGGTGGAGCATTACGAGAGCCCCATCGAGTTTGACAGCAAGGAGGAGCACGCCGAGTTTGTGCTCGTCAGGAAAGACATGCTGTTCAACCAGCTCATTGAGATGGCCCTTCTGTCACTGGGCTACTCACACAGCTCGGCGGCACAGGCGAAAGGTAGGACTGGCACAAGCACATACTCTATTGATGACCCGCTCCCACACACATACACATACACACACATGCACAAACTCAGACACGCACACACACACACCCACACACGCACAGGCCCGCTCCACGAACAATAGAACTGGCCCTGCTATGATTTGGCTTATCCCACAGCTTACCCCACACACACTGCCCCCCTTCCATCCATCCACACACACACACACACACACACGCACGCACACACACACACACACACACACACACACACACACACACACACACACACACACACACACACACACACACACACACACACACACACACACACACACACACACACACACCCCATAGCTGTCCAGGCCTCCGATAGTTTCCCAGCTGATCTGAAGGCTCAGTAACGTAGGCTGACATTGATCCCAGACAGGGGATGTAGCTACATGTCTCTCAGGAGTTCTCAGGGCCTCTCTCTGCTCTGTAAACCTCTAGCTAGAACACTCAGTGGAAGTGAAGGTGGGACCCGTTGCAGCTGACTGCAACTCTAACACACAGACCTGGGCTATTTCCAGGTGTCTCTGCCCTTTATTACAGGCGGTCCATCATACAGCAACACAGTTCTCTGTAATAGGACATAGTGTAGGCTCTGATGTTTTCATGCCATTTATTGGGAGGGGGGCGGGGCTTACTGGGAAAAGAGATGTCAATCTTAATGTGACCTTGCTGGAATAATATATTATAAATGTTTATCTGTATGTGTCTAAATGTGAGAAACATAACATTTACAATTGATGGTGTTTGTGTTCCTCTGTCCATTGCAGGTCTCATTCAGGTGGGCAAGTGGAACCCGGTCCCACTGTCCTACGTGACGGACGCGCCGGACGCCACCGTGGCAGACATGCTGCAGGACGTGTACCATGTGGTCACACTGAAAATTCAGCTGCACAGGTCAGTCTCTGCCCCGTTGCCCAATCAACCCACCCACCCAATGCCAGTCCAGTGAAGCACCCAACCCCACCACCTTCCAGACCCCACCACCCACTTATGCCAGTCTAGTGTAGCATGCGTACCTAGTTAACTTGTGTTAAACACCCAACACATAGGCCTACCATTTGCTTTCCATGCTACCACACTAACTCATATTAGCATAATAGCCATAGACCTTGCAGCAGCCAAAACTGCAAAGACATAACTGCAATCCAGCCATACACCTGATAGTCATGGATGGACTGGAAATACAGTGCCTTGCAAAAGTATTCATCCCCCTTGGCGTTTTTCCTATTTTGTTGCATTACAACCTGTCATTTAAATGGATTTTTATTTGGATTTCATGTAATGGACATACACAAAATAGTCCAAATTGGTGAAGTGAAATGAAAAAAATTACATTTTTCAAATAATTCTAAAAAATAAATAACGGAAAAGTGGTGCATGCATATGTATTCACCCCATTTGCTATGAAGCCTCTAAATAAGATCTGGTGAAACCAATTACCTTCAGAAGTCACATAATTAGTTAAAAAAGTCCACCTGTGTGCAATCTAAGTGTCACATGATCTGTCACATGATCTCAGTATAAATACACCTGTTCTGAAAGGCCCCAGAGTCTGCAACACCACTAAGCAAGGGGCACCACCAAGCAAGCGGCACCATGAAGACCAAGGAGTGCTCCAAACAGGTCAGGGGCAAAGTTGTGGAGAAGTACAGATCAGGGTTGGGTTATAAAAAAATATCCAAAACTTTGAACATCCCACTATAAATCCATTATAAAAAAATTGAAAGAATATGGCACCACAACAAACCTGCCAAGAGAGGGCCACCCACCGAAACTCACGGACCAGGCAAGGAGGGCATTAATCAGAGAGGCAACAAAGAGACCAAAGATAACCCTGAAGGAGCTGCAAAGCTCCACAGCGGAGATTGGAGTATCTGTCCATTGGACCACTTTAAGCCGTACACTCCACAGAGCTGGGCTTTATGGAAGAGTGGCCAGAAAAAAGCCATTTAAAGAAAAAAATAAGCAAACACATTTGGAGTTCGCCAAAAGGCATGTGGGAGACTCCCCAAACATATGGAAGAAGGTACTCTGGTCAGATGAGACTAAAATTGAGCTTTTTGGCCATCAAGGAAAACGCTATGTCTGGCGCAAACCCAACACCTCTCATCACCCCGAGAACACCATCCCCACAGTGAAGCATGGTGGTGGCAGCATCATGCTGTGGGGATGTTTTTCATTGGCAGGGACTGGGAAACTGGTCAGAATTGAAGGAATGATGGATGGCACTAAATACAGGGAAATTCTTGAGGGAAACCTGTTTCAGTCTTCCAGAGATTTGAGACTGGGACGGAGGTTCACCTTCCAGCAGGACAATGACCCTAAGCATACTGCTAAAGCAACACTCGAGTGGTTTAAGGGGAAACATTTAAATGTCTTGGAATGGCCTAGTCAAAGTCCAGACCTTAATCCAATTGAGAACATGTGGTATGATTTAAAGATTGCTGTACACCAGCGGAACCCATCCAACTTGAAGGAGCTGGAGCAGTTTTGCCTTGAAGAATGATCAAAAATCCCAGTGGCTAGATGTGCCAAGCTTATAGGGACATACTCCAAGAGACTTGCAGCTGTAATTGCTGCAAAAGGTGGCTCTACAAAGTATTGACTTTGGGGGGGGGGGGGGGGGGGTGAATAGTTATGCACGCTCAAGTTTTCTGTTTTTTTGTCTTATTTCTTGTTTGTTTCACACAAAAAATATTTTGCATCTTCAAAGTGGTAGGCATCTTGTGTAAATCAAATGATACAAAACCCCCCAAAAATCCATTTTAATTCCAGGTTGTAAGGCAACAAAAAAGGAAAAATGCCAAGGGGGGTGAATAGTTTTGCAAGCCACTGTAGCAATGGTAGCTATCCAGTCCATACAAAAACCATGCATGGCAGTCAGGTTTGCTCATAGCACCTACTGTAAAGCCGCACACACCATTTACGTTGACCACAGTCAGTAGCCACACCAACAAGATCTCAGTTTCCCTTCGAAATTCAACGTATTATGGATGAACATCTATTTTTGGCGCTTTCATTCCGCGGGTTACAGGGTTCATGTTCATTCATGGTTACAGGGTTAAAACAGAAACAACTCGTGCCTCCTGAGTGGCGCAGCGGTCTAAGGCACTGCATCACAGTGTTGCAGCGTCACTACAGCCTGGGGTTCGATCCCAGGCTGTGTCACAACCAGCCGTGACCGGGAGTCCCATAGTGCGGCGCACTATTGGCCCAGCGTCGTCCGGGTTAGGGGAGGGTTTGGCCGGGGGGGCTTTACTTGGCTCATTGCGCTCTAGCGACTCTTTGTGGCAGGCCAGGCCCCTGCAGGCTGACTTCCGTCGTCAGTTGAACAGTGTTTCCTCCGACACATTGGTGCAGCTGGCTTCTGGGTTAAGCAAGTGGGTGTTAAGAAGTGCGGCTTGGCAGGTCATGTTTTGGAGGACGCATGACTCGACCTTCGCCTCTCCCGAGCCCGTTGGGGAGTTGCAGCGATGAGACAAGATTGTAAAATCATGAAAATGGGTAGAAAAAGGGAGTAAAAATTACAAAAAATAAATAATAATAAACAAAAAATAAATAATAATAAACAGAAACAACTCAAAGGTTAACAGATTGGGCATTAATAGTTAGGGCTATGGTTTTGGGGAAGGCTTAACATTTTACTGCGGTGGGCTAAATCAGGGTTCACACAGTGTTTCTTGGTAGTCTTAAACAAATCTACTTTGAAACAAAAGTATACACCTCACACACATGGTTATAGTCTTAAAAAAAGGAAATTTCATTACCATGTCAGATATAGAGTTGAAATGTATTCAATTTTGAGTTTGCATTCCAATATTACACTTTATATACATCACAGAAGACTGAAATAAAACAAAACCGTTTGACATAGAAACACAGATTATCTGTGTAAAAAAAAGAAGGTATGTTTATTAATTATGAAATTATGAAAAATATGAAATACATTCCACCCATGAGGCCACTAGGTCATTTGACTGCAGGAAAGGGCTACAACAAAATAATAACAAACTACGCACTATTATCATCAGGTATCATCAGTATTCACAGTGTTCTCAAGGCTTGCTAGAGCATTGTGAACTGCAGTAGTGCAGTGGTCAAAGCAGACGCTCCAGCTCCGATCATCATGAGTTCACGCCCAGTGCTGGGCAATCTTCTTCTTCTATTTTTTTTTGAGCGCCGAGGAAGGCATATATTGACGTTCTCAGGACGTTTTCAAACGTCCAAAATCGCCATCTATTTCTAATGACCAGCCTGGCCACAAAGCCCACACGTACTGTTTACAGACCACATAGCAGCCACAGACTACACACACACTGAGATTGGTACTGCTGGTGTAGAGGCCTGTGCCAGCTGCACACACTCAGCCCTACCCTCACTAGCTCACTGCTAATGCAACCCTCTAGGGGGCTGTTCACACACACACACACACACACACACACACACACACACACACACACAGGTTGTTCTCCCTCCCTCCCTCTCTTTCCTCCTCCCCTACTCTACACACACACCAGCCAGGACACAGAAGGTTGTGTTTATTTCCAGCAAGCTAGTGTGCCTGCATGGATAGCTGTCTGTCTCCACCACTCACCCTCCTCTCTTTTCCTCCCCTCTGTTCCTTTGCTTTCCCCAGAGGCTCTCTAGCTGCTACAGCCGTTTAAGGTGTTCTGGCAAAGCCTCAACCAGAGCCATGTGTGTTGGTGTGTGTGTGTGTGTTCGCCCTCTATCTTTGAATCCTCTAACTTCTATATATCTACCTTCTGTTTATTATATATGCATTACACATATCAAAGTACCTACAACCTTTTGATAACCTCTAAGACAATAGCAACCCATATCCCCCTAACACACACACATAAACCCAATAGACACCCATACCAACTGTGGAGTGTGCGGTTCATGTGTTTTTTTGCTGTTGCCATAATTCAGGAATGCATGCAATGCGAACACGGCCATATGTCCCATACACGTGACGTCTGCGCGGCGCGTGCTTGATCAAATGGAGAAATCCTTATCTGAAGCGAACGGGGCTCTCTCACTGGAGACCCGCTTGTTCACTTTCAAATTCCTCCTCATTAATATGATCTGGTTTTAAAGGGGGTCCACTTGTCTGTAAATAGAGTACATTCATCTGTGTATCGCATAGACGCATACATTCTTTGTCTTTTTATCCAAAAATGTTTTTACGTGCGGCATGTTGTTATTTCCTTTCCCCCCACTGCAGAAATCTAGCCGGTAACACCTTAAATTGTTTTCGCCGAGCACATCGAGCCAGGAAGGTAGAAGTAACATGAAATAATAGTGGCCACATGCAGCTGATGTATAATTCATGCATCAATACAGCAGATGTGTTGTATAAAGTAATTAACTAATCAGAACAATCAGGAGAGAGAGCGGGAAAGAGAGAGAGCGAGGGAGAAGGGAGAGAGGGAGAGAGAGCAATCTCCAGATGCATCTGCTTAATGCGCCAAATGAAATCTGTCTGTCTTGGAGGGGCGCTTGCAGCAGGAAAGCAAGCAAGGCCCTTTGCTCATCTCTCACTCTCTTTCTTTTCCTCCTGTTCTCTCCTGTTCGCTGCTCTCTTTTCTCTCCTTCTCTCTATTTCCCCATCCCCTCTCGCAATCTCCCTGTTCTCCGTCCTCTCCCCCCACCCTCATCCCTTTCTCTTTCTCTCTCCCCCTCTATCTCTTCCTCCTACCTCCTATCTCGTCTCACAGTTGTCCTAAACTGGAGGACCTGCCGCCAGAGCAGTGGACCCACTCTACAGTAAGAAATGCCCTCAAGGAGTTACTCAAAGACATGAACCAGAGCTCTCTGGCAAAAGAATGTCCCTTATCACAGGTGCTGGAGCCGTCCACAAACCCCCACTATTCCATTTGCCAAAGACTGCCAGTGTCCCTTTTTCAAATGCCCAGTTTGATAGAGTGGAACACGAAGGAGAATTGCCATAGAAAATCCAAATCAATACCCATTGTCGTCCATATAGATGCACGCCCCCCCCCCCCCCTTCTTCTTCTCTTCCCCCCTCATTTGCAGAAGCAGTAGTGTTGATTGAATGCAGGGTTATTGTTGGGTAAACAATGGACCAACCCAGAATAATCTTGATTTTTCTCTTTATACATCAGGCTAGAAATATGAATGTTTTTGGAGTTTGTTTTCTCACCATTATGTAATACACTCACTCTGTATTCAAGTACTTGACTCTATAGAATTACTGCTCTCGTCGTATATCATAGCTCATAACAGAAGCTGTTCTGGAGGAATGAAACAGCAGTAAATCTATCACAGGAGCCGTCTGGGTGTGTGTGTGCGCTTACGATATAGAGTGTGTTTGTGTGTGTGTGTGAGCGCTTATGGTATGGAGTGTGTGTGTTATGGAGTACGGTATGGAGTCGACTCTCCGTATGGTCACCTAGAGGCCCGTGGTGTGTGTGTGTGTGTTTAGCCGGGCAGAGCGTGGTGATGATGTAAAGAGTCCCCCGGTGGCGTTCAGGCTGAGCCGCCGCTCCCTCCCTCTCTCCCTCAGCCCGGTAATCACCCTGTTTACGGTCCATATGTGAACTACTCTCTGTGGTGCGGTCCAACCGCACAGGCTCAGAGGATAGCATCGATGCTCCATTTTACTCGGTTGTTCAGCTATTGTCATTTACTCATTGTAAGACGCTCTGTGTAAGTAAGAGTGTCTGTTTTACAGGCTACCTAAAATGAAATATGAAATCCTAGTTGAGATGTGCATTGTTAATCCCAAATATCATATATGATATACTAAAAGCAGCTATCCCTTCACTTGCATTGTAGGGGTTCAAAGATGGCTGACGTCAAAATATCTGACATCTGTTATACTGTGGGTTCTGCATAGATATACCCATAGAGAGGTGTGTTGTTGCTTTTAATAGGTCTCTCTATAAGTCTCAACGCTCATTTGGTCCATTGAGCCCAGCCCAGTATTAGCCCTGCATGGCTACTGTTGTTTCCTATCAGTATTCAACTTTGGCTCAGGGTCTCTGATGTCAGTGCCTTGGGGGGGATGTGATGGGCGGCAGGTGAGAGGCCACAGAGGACTTGGCGCTCCTAAGGCTTCTGGGAAGCGAACGGTGCCCGGGGAGAGGAAAAGGGCGTGTTCGGAGGCAGGGATGATTGGCAGCTTTTATAGGATTAGTGTCTCCTTGATATTCAGGAGGGTAATCCTGGGGAGAGAAAGGTTAACAAACAGAGAATTGGGGGGAGAGAATGAACCCTACCTCAGAACAGGGCTCAAAGAGAGAAAGAAAGAGGGGGGGCCATCTTGAAAAACGGCGTCTTTGTTCTGGGTCTTGTCAAACATTTAGTTTAATTCTTTTGTGGCGGGGAGTCATGCTTTGTGTGTTTGGCCTACAAATGCCCTGAAGAGACTCTGACTCCAAGAGAGGGGAGGGGGGCCTGAGAGAAAAGAGACTGTGGCCATTGTTATTGTTCCCAGTGGAATATCAGTTGACTGCGCTCAGATGGAGTTTGAGTGTAATGCACCCTGTAGAGGAAAAGGAGATGGGGTTCTCACAAAAAGGTTTGACTCCCGTCCACCCCCTTCTCCTCAACCACCACCCTCTCTGAGAGGGCCCGCTCGAACTTAACCCCCAGGCTCCTCTGAAACTACGGCAACAAAAGAGGCCCCCCTCACCTCTCTGCCTCCTCTCCTTCCCCCACCGGGCGGCCCTGACAGAGCAGCTGTCCTGTTGCATAGCAGCAAATAGCCATCAAATGCCATCTTTGTGAGTCTGGGCTCTGCTCTGAGGCTGCCAGCGGCTGAGGTTGTGGTAGGTCCTATTGGTGTGTATGTATGCTTGTGTGTGTGCATGTGTGCGTACATGTGTGTGTGTGTGTGTGGGGAGGGGTGGGGACTCTTAACCCAATTGGTGTGGAATTGACGGTAATTTGTTTTAGATGTTTGGGGGGGGGAGAAGCAAGATATTAGCCGCAATCAGAACTAGAGAACAAGACAAGGGTGTGTGTAGGGTGTCTTAGTTAGTTTATGTTTGTGTGTGTGCATGTGCTTGCAGGCTATGGCAGGCTTTGCCACCGTGCCTTTTTCATGCGTCTCTCTCCCATGACGGAAAGTGGAATAGATAGTTGGGGCAGATAACGGCCCTGCGCAACTTCCTGGGCACACTGATAATCTCCTGTGCTGTAGATGGCTATCACTTAAAGGGCCCAGGGCAGGCAGACAGCAGCATTCTGGTGCCACACTACACAACAGTACCCACCACTACCTGTTGAGGCTTCGTGGGCGCGAGGTGGTGGTGGTTATCTGCATGGCTTGGCAAGTGTGTGTATTGTGTCTGTGCCTGTGTGTAGGTGTGTTTGTACCTGCCTGTGTGTGTACCTGCCACTGTGTGTGTGTGTCCCAGTGAGAGGCGTGATGTATGGAGGGAGATGCCTGATTAATGAGGAGCGTTTATTAGAACATCTGTGTCAAAGATGGAGGAACACAGGCAGTGTGTCTTGGGTGGGCCCTGCTATAGCTGTCTCTGTCTCGCCCAGATACTGTAAATAAAACATGCTACGCCCAAGGAATGGCTCCCATTATGCCACAATACTGACTATAAGGTACTCACCAAAATAGTGCATTCATATGGACTTGGTTCAGCTGATATACTGTACTCTATGTGCCATTTTCTGTTAACACTATTGAAGATACCAATCCTCAATTGTCAGATCCTCAATAACTCATCCTCAATTATCATCCACAATTCCGCAATTCACCAGGCTTGTAGTGTATGCCAGTTGTGTAGGGGTGTTGAGGTCAGGAGTTCACAGCAGCAGGCAAAATCCTCCCTCGTCTTCCATCTCCGGTGAGGAGGAGTGGGAGATGTGGCTGCGGCTCTTCTGTCAGCGCCGTGTGTTGTTCACTGAAGTGCGTTTGTGCCAGAAGGTTCTCTCCCGTCCCCAAGTGCTCATATTAAAGATATGATAAAGATGGCATACCTGTAATTTGAAAACAGATGGTTTCATCTTTTGAATATTTATAACAATCAAAACAATTTCTCCTGCTATTCACCCGCAGGCCAGGAAGGTGTTAAAACATTTAATGAAAAGAAAACGGCGCCTTGTTTGCGAGGAATGCGTTCGAGAAATAAATAGGGAAGAGTAGAGTCAATTTTGGAGAAGGCGAGAGGGCACAGATATAAAGCCTTATATCCCTTGAAGATGCTTTTTAACATATTGTGGAGAGCAAGAGAAAAAAACGAAAAATTCATCTGTTTACATTGCCTGATTTCCAGATGCTAACTTTTAATAGGCTGTTTGTTATCTTTCTTTTTGAAAGCAAACTGCTCTTTACTGTAGGACTACACCCTGATATCAACAAGGCTACTAATTCAGTGAAGCCCATTATTTACCTTCCTCCCAGAAAGGTTCTCTCAAACTCTGTGGCATTTGCTATAAAGGGACACACCTCTTATATTTCATTTTGATTTGTTTTACATTTGGAAAGACAAGACCAAGATTTGTGCATGACTGATAACAAATGGTCTTTGCTAGATTATTGTTGTTTGTGCACCGAAATGTTTTATTCATTTTGACAAGGAAAACACTGTATTAGTGCATGTCACACCAGCATTAATACATGTCCTTGTGCTGCACATAGCGGATCCTGAAGGTTTTCTCTCTCTTTACCAATCTCTCTCTTTCAGAGTATGATTTCCTCCATTGTGAACAGCACTTACTATGCAAATGTGTCGGCGGCGAAGTGTCAGGAATTTGGGCGCTGGTATAAACATTTCAAGAAGACAAAAGATATGATGGGTAAGCAAAATGGACCGAGTGCAAAATGTTACACTAACACTGTCTTATCAGAACCCCCCAATCACCATTCCAATATGTCTGCCCCATAGTCCCCCCCTCTTCCTGGTACATTAAACACATTTTAATCACATCATCTAATGATGGCTTTTCTCAGATATTTCCCTGTACACTGCTCAGGTGCACAATGTTTTCACTGTTTTTCCTGAATCCATTCTGTGTAATCTATTATTGCTTATCAGATGTAGTTTAGTATTCAGTAATGCCTGTCAAAATCACAGACTAAATTGAGGTCTGCGACCTTTGTTTATGAATACGGTTTCAGTTTCCTACAAATGACATAGTGATGATTTTCCTGGCTATCATCTGGTTTGAAATCAATGTGTTTTTCGTTGTCAAAATAGAACAAGGCTGGCTTTGTATTTTAGATAACTCACTTAGTCCTCCTTGTCTCTTTTTGGAAATGAGGTCACATAATTCAGGTACTGTCTATTTTATGTGTTTTGGTCATTAAATACCATACCAGTCATATTAATGGAGTTTAATATGCAGTAAAATAGAGTATTGGTTTCAACCTTCTGTGTAGAAATCCACCTTCCTATACAAGCTAGTGCCCATGTTGATTACAGTCAAGATCAGTTGCAGTCGGTGCTGTTTAAGATTAGGGAGGACGGTAAATGTTTTTATGAGCATGGCCTTATTTCTATTACAACATATTTGATGACTGTCATTCATATTCTATTCACCCAGCTCAATGTAACGTCGATAGGTTTAGGCTACTATATGATACTCAAATGTTCCTACTGTAAACCTTCATTACAAAACAGTGTATTTTAATCAGTTATTTGGTGACATGAATATATTTAGTATAGTTTTATCTAAAAAGGATAACTTTTGTAATGTTTCACTATTTTAATTTTATGAAATTCACTGAGTAGGATGGTCCTCCCCTTCCTCCTCTGAGGAGCCTCCACTGGTCAAGATAGAAAACCAGAATGTTTTCATGGTTTTGCCTGTGAACGCTCTGTTTTGATCATATCATACTCCATTTTTCTGTTAAAAACATGGACACATAACACCACTGGCCCCCTACCCATCCTCTTGTGTACATACACACATTTTACGTAACATTCTTTATGGTTTATGGAAGAGTACATAAAGAATGTAGGATCTCAAGTAGAAGCGATGTTGAAACTACACATTTAGACAAGTCCTGTGTGATATTTATGTATACTTGGGATATGAGGTGAAGCATAGTGGGTATCAACTCTGTGGCATCCCTTATGTCCACATGAACCCTTTCTTCCCCTGGTCATATATAATGTAGATTGAATGGGGCGTTAACCCTCTCTTTCTCTCTCTTCACCTGTGCACTGTGTGGCTTCTCCTCTCTCTATGTGTGTGTGTGTGTGCCTGTCTTGCCCACACGTATGTGCAGGCATGCGCCAACCCTCACAGCTGGAGGGCTACCTGGGGACGTGTGTCCTCCACGACAGCCCGCGTGCCAACACACTAGGTACGTCACGTGGCCACACACACCGTCTGTGGGCACACACACACACTGCACTGTGTCCCTACCCAGTCCCTGCAAAAGCTGGCACCCCTCAGGTGGCTGTTTGCCGCCCGCGGCGACACTCTCAACCTTAATATTCATGAAAGAATGCCTACTATGCGTGCCCGTTGAGTGGCAGCGATGGCATAGAGGGCACTGTTGAAAGGGAGCGTGTTAGTCTCTCCTTTGTGCTTCAGTGCGACTGTAGTTTCATAAACATACACTTAGTCCACCACCATGGGCAGTGTAGTTATATTGTCTTACATCGAGACACTGTCTGTAATTGAAAATGCGTCTGGTTAAACACATTGAAGGGCCTTGGTCGACAGTCACTGCTGTCAGAGCTGCCTCTATGGGACCCAGCAAAGTGGTCTCTACTCTGTTGAAGTGTGAGAGCAGTTCAGGGCAGTCCCCCTATCCAGCAGGAGAGAGAGTTCCATGGGGTTTGGACACCTGTTCACTCCCCCGTCTCTCTCTCCCCCACTCTCTCTCGCCCCCCTCCCTCCCTCTCTCTCTCTCTCTCACTCTCTCTCTCTCTCTCTCCTCTCTCTCTCTCTCTCTCTCTCTCTCTCTCTCTCTCGCTCTCTCTCTCTCTCAACCCCCCTCTCTCTCCCCCCCTCTCTCTCTCTCTCTCTCTCTCTCTCTCCCTCCCTCTCTTCCTCCCTCTCTCTTTCTCTCTTTCTCTCTCTCCCCCTCCCTCCCTCGCTCTCCCTCCCTCTCTCAACCCACATCCCATTCCCATTGTGTGTATAATCCGGGGCTCTTTTGTGGCTGGATTCCACACAAGGACTCCCACTTCTGTGGCTGCCTTTTCTCCAGGGCCTGCCGTGCTTTTCTGCCACCCCTTGTTTTTCAAATTGCATGGAAATGCTGTGTGTGTGTGTGTGTGTGTGCGCTCAGTATGTGTGTGTGTGTGTATTTGTGAGCATGCCCCCCAGCAATGTGTGTGAGCACAGAGTAGAGTGTCAAGAGCAAAGCATCACAGCCAGGGAATGCCAAGGATTATGGGAGAGATGTAATTATTACCACGTTTTTTTTTCTCTTAATAATTTGTTTAGACAAATACTGAAAAGAACAGTCTTGGCCGGTTTTTGTGTTTCCTGACAGTTAAGAAAACATGCTGCTATACTTGTGATTATTGTGTGTATTTTTGGATCTCTTCCAGGCTCTCAATCTTTTATCTCCCGCTGAAATATTGAGTTTGTGGAAGATTTTCTCCTGCTAACACCAATTTGTGCTTCTCAGAAATATGATTTGTATGATTCAATATGATTTTTTGGCCCCATGTTGGCAGTTGCTCACATCTAGGTGTAAATGGTACTATATGGATTATTTAAGAGATACTATTCTAAGTTCAGTGCATGTAAATGATTAAATCTATATGAATTCTTTAGATAGAAAACCTCAGCAGATTCTACCAGATCCAAATACTGGAGTGAGTCTGACGAAACCTCACATTCACTCATAGTCACTTTAATATCCCCTTAGATTTTTTAATGATTATTTTCATCCACAGACGTGTAATTTAGACAGAGCTCAAAATGCTCACAAGCTGCCATTATGGACTTAAATATTCCCAAAATGAGAGAGACACCATAAATAGTACATTCATCTTTCCTTAGGCCTGAACAGGCTGGAATATGGAAGAGGTCATGTCTAGGATTCTCTTTATAAGATAGTGCTTCTCTCTCTCTCGCTCTCTCTCTCTCTCTCTCTCTCTCTCTCTCTCTCTCTCTCTCTCTCCTACTCTCTCTCTCTCTTTCCTGGAGTTATATTTAGGCCGTCCCCAAAATTTTTATATTGGCTAGCTTCCGTACCTTGTTTTAGAATTAGGGACATAAAGAGTGATTCAGGGATGATCTGTCTCCCAGTATGCGCAGACACACACACACACACACACACACACACACACACACACACACACACACACACACACACACACACACACACACTTGTTTTTATTGCTCACATGATTGGGCCATGGACATTATAAACTAATTTCGGGAGCTGCCAAGGCTCTGGGGGCTGCCTGCATGTTGCACACTGAGGCCCTTTATCTGGGGCCTGAATCTAGGCTGGGGCTTTTTAGACAGGCAAGTGTCTGAACAGCTATGCCTTATCACAGGGACACAGGTTTGGTCAGAGGCTGTAAAGTTTTGTTGCTCAGAGATTTGGCCTGATGCACTGTTTTAAATGTCAAAGTCTGTTTTACTCATCTGAGTGGGTTAGACAGTGTGTATTGGTGCATTCTGTCTGGGCACTTTCTGCTGTATTCTTCAGCCAGTATTCAAAGTGTTTAAATTGACCCTCTCTCTCCTCTCCCCCTCCCTCCCCTGTCTTTCCCCTCCTCCAGCAGACATGGACGGCCTGTCCGACCACTCCCCTCCGGGCCCCAACCACAACCACAATCACAACCACCTGACCTTCTCCCAGCAACCCATCCCGGGCAGCACGGCCGAGCAGCCCCCCTCCTCCCCGGTGCTCCCCCTGCCCCCTCCGTCCCACGGTGGGGGCCAGACCCCTGGCCGCCCGGCTCAGCTCCCCCCCGGCCTGCACCACCCAGGCCTGGTATCCACCCCCATCAGCCCCCAGCTGGTGAACCAGCAGCTGGTCATGGCCCAGATTCTCAACCAGCAGTACGCCGTCAACCGGCTCCTGGCACAGCAGTCGCTGTCGCAGCAGTACCTCAACCACCCGCCAGTCAACCGAAATGCCCTGGCCAAGCCCCTGGAGCCCCAGGTAGCCAGCAACACAGAGGTGTCCATGGAGATATACCAGTGGGTGAGGGACGAGCTGAAGAGGGCCGGCATCTCCCAAGCCGTGTTCGCCCGCGTGGCTTTCAACAGGACCCAGGTGAGGAGGGTCAGAATTGAACTATGACTTTTGCATAAATCACCCATTGATGCCAATAGGAGATTTGGGGAAAAATCGCAACACCTCAAGATAGTATTATGTGCTACCAGGACTGGAAATTCAAGAATACACACTTACCCTTCCCTAAAGCACTCTGACATATCTGTCACAAGGACAGAATTGTTTTGAGTTATAGTGCCTCAAAGTCAAACTCTGCATTCTTGTCGAAGGCCATCATCAAAACAGTTAATCTTATAACTGCTTACAACAACCTAACACCACAACATTAACTATTTAAAAGCTACAGTACACCTGGCAAGCCACAACGTCAGAGCACCAGGCGCGGTCACGGCTTGCACTCCCTCCGCTAAAACATGTGATTTCACTTTACAGGCAGGCGCGCAGCAGGGCCCTGACAGAGATAATGTCTTAAGATGTTCTGCATATTTTGGGGGGAGGTGGCAGCAAACCTCATTACTCCTCCGCCACTTTGAAGTTGTGTGCGAAACCTCTTGATAAGAATCTATTGGAATCAGTGCGTACCGACGCTCTCCCCACAAAAAAAGTTAAGTGGATAGCAAGCAGACAGTGGTGTTTTTGTGCAAATTGGCAAGCCTCTCTCCTTTCAGCTTTATCTCGCCTGTATGAAGAATTAGTAATGTGCCTTTTGAGAGCCTCCTCTTGTATTATTTATAGTGTGTTAGTTTTTTTCTCTTCCTGTTTCTGCCGAGCGTGTTAATAAAGGGTGCGTGTGGCGACCCGCAGGGGGTGGCGTCTACACGGGGCGAGGTGGACACACGGGGGCTCGCCGGCCCTTTTTTGTAGAAGCGGCCGATTGACTGGGGAGATTAATGGAAAGGGGTGATAGCTGGGCGTAATAAACATACATGCACAAACACAATCACACACACATGCGTATACGCAAACACATAACACACACACTGCGCACACACACACATAATCTCACACAATCTTCAGAATACCTGTGACATGCACTCAATGTCAGTTTGAAAGCTTGTCTCCCCGTTCAGAGTTGATGCCTCTATCTAGTTATACATACTTGGCTCCGTCATAAGGTTGTCTATTCTAATGTTCTTTAGTGTTTCATAAAGTCACAAGTACAATGTGTTTTCTTAAACTACCATACCATTAGTTAAACATTCCGTTATTGTTTGCGGGGCCACTAGTTCTAACTCTGGTATTTGGTGTAAATATCAACAGCACTGACATCATGTTGTTTATTACAAAATCATTTTGTTTATTTCCAAATCACACACCTATTGATAAAGAGAAGCTGAAAATGGATTTCTCAGTGTGTGTCCAACGGCGGATGAAAAGCCTCAATCACACAGTCCTGATAATACAGTGATTCCCATAATGACATGATTCATAGCTATTGAAAAGGAACAGCGGATACACTGATTGCTACACTGATGCTCACTGAGTCAATATGCTGTAATAGTTACATTATCCTCTGGGTCTGTGAGAGTTTACTAGTAGAAATAGAATGTTCACAATGGACATTGAAGGTCCTGTAGTGATGTCAATGAATGAGTCTTCTCAGGGCTTACAAGAGGGCATCTCTTTATCTGATGAGAAGAGAGCGCGAAGAGATTACTAGAGCAGAGCTCGATCTGATGATGACGAGATACAGCTGATCGCTATCGATAATCAAGATGAATCTGATATATACTATACTCATCTCTCTCTTATCTCTCTCTCTCTATCTTCGTCTCTCTCTTCTCTATCTCTCTCTCTCTCTCTCTCTCTCTCTCTCTCTCTCTCTCTCTCCCTCCCTCTCTTCCTCCCAGGGCCTGTTGTCTGAGATCCTGCGTAAAGAGGAGGATCCTAAGACGGCCAGCCAGTCTCTGCTGGTCAACCTGCGGGCCATGCAGAACTTCCTGCAACTGCCCGAGGTCGAGCGAGACCGCATCTACCAGGACGAGAGGGAAAGGAGCCTGACGGCCGCCTCGGCCATGGGGCCTGCGCCACTCATCAGCACCCCGCCCACCCGGCCAGTGCAGGTATGGAACGAACAGGCAAGCATACACACAGACAGAGGAGCGTGCACACACACACTACAGACATCTCAAATCATTTATTTTGACCTTAAGTTGTACAGCAAGTGCCACTACCCACCCCACTCTTAAAATTGGAAGCAACTCAATGACGACAAGTTCTGTGGAGGAGAGAATCTCCCCCAGTCTGTCAGTCAATCAGTTCCTCATTCAACTCTCTGACCACCAGCTCTCCACTGTCTCTCCCACAATCAAAGTTCTTTATTGGAAAGGTATGTGGCAACTTTTCCACTTAAGCACATTTTGAGTGCGGTCGAGAGTGTCTGGGGCGGAGAGGGCCAGACAAAGGCCTCCTCTGTTCAGCCTCGGACTGAAGACGGCCTTTTCTTTGAGAGAGAGAATGTTCCTGTGCCACACATTGGCCAAACAGGGAGGCCCCTTTGACTGCATGGCCAGATCGCAGTGGCCGTCCTTACAAAACTGGAAGGAAAGGGAAGAATCAGACTCTGAACCAGTGGTTTTAAAGTAGGAAAAGGCCACTTTGCAGTTCACAGGTCTTCCTCAACAGTCAGTTGGCTGTGAAAGCTGGACATGGAAAAAGGGAGAGAGAGACCAATAGAGAGAGGGCAAGAGACAGACACAGAGAGGGAGACAGAGTGAGAGAGAGAAAGCGAGAGAGTGAGCGAGAGAGAGAGAGATGTCCCTCTTACAATGACACATTGACCAGACTAAACCATGTTTTTAGCTATAAGACATACCTCTGTTCAGGCCCTAATTCTGTTTACTTCAGTGCATCCATTTCAAACTTGTGGATCAGGAGGTGCATACACCTTTCTCAATTGAATAATTGTCTTAGTCGAATTCCAGGGCTGGGATTTCAGTTTTTAGAGTTGTGGAGGTGGGCTTGTATACTGAATGTGTCATTTTATGGAGTAGTACAGGAAACACAGACCTTGTCATTTCATTATAACCGGCGTATAAGCAATGATTAAATGTCAGACGAATAGCCAATTGCTATACAGTTATTTACTTCTTGCTGAACATAAAACATCATAGTAGCATATGATCATCTGCCCTAATAGGCTTTTCTATATTCTACCCTTCACCTATGACTGAGTCCTATCAAAGTAGGCCTAGCCCTGGCCTGGACATATGCCAGACTCCCACTGACAGCTCCTATAGAGTATAAAGTAATGCGTTGGGAGATTTAGCCACATAAATCAGTCAGGGTGGCAATTGAACAGAGACAGGGAGGCTTTTATGGGCCTCCTAAAAAACGATGCGGAGGTATGTTTCTCATGTGTGCCCATGGGTGGCTCCAGTGCCCTCACCAGCCTCTGCATGTCCCAGGCTTAACAATTAGAGCTACTGAGGAAATTGTTGGTAATCAGTACACACTCTGACACCCCTCGCCTACTGAGTCATAAATGGTTTAAAAGATGCCCAGGAATCATAAAACATTCCAGTTTACCACAAATGTGGGGTCCATTATCTTTTCATAACCACCAAAATGGCTCCCCTGTTAGATGTCTAGACATATACATTAAACATTTATTTTAGATTTTTACAGATTGTTTTGGGCAAGTTTGTAACTGACAAGATTAATACTGAGTAATTTAATTATTGCCTACATGTAAAAAAATAATATATGTTTTCAGTATTCACATAAGTTTTATAAGTGTTTCCTCTGGACTTTGCATATGAATGATAATTGTATGATTTATTCTGATTCGATTCGATTTTTAGAATTTGAGTAATATTTATTCTCAAAGGTTTCTCTTACTCCAGAGACAACAAGCCACGGCAGTGATGTTGATTCAATTCCATGAATCTCTTTGCAATCTGATTTCTGATCAGTTTAGCTTAATCAATGAGACTGCAGTGTACTAAAGTTATCATTGCACATGTACTATACTGCCTTTATGTTGACACAGCCTAAACATTTGTTATTGTGTGGGTGTTTGTGTTTGTGTGTGTGTGTGTGTGTGTGTGCGTGCGTGTTTGTCTGTGCTAATGTGTGTGCGTGTGTTGTTAAATCTTCTTTCTGAGGGTGAGACTAAACAAACATGTCTTTGTTGCCCCAGCAGCCCAGGAGAGAAGACTGTAACAACGTCAGACCTGAGGACTGGAACCCCAGAATCCCTGTGGGCATCTCTCCTGTAAGCAAACACAACAATTAACCATCTCTTTGTAACACTTTCACTGTTACTGTACTGTTCCAATAACATGTTGTTATTAATGGTTATCGTAATACTGCATGTTACTTATTAATAAGTAATTAAATTAATAAAGACTTATTTATTAATAGTTTATAAATTGTTTATTAATGCTTATTCGTAAAAGTTACTATAAAGTGTTACCAATATGTTATCTTATATTTGTTAAGTGAAGTTAATTAGACAAATGATGAAATGTATGAAATAATTGAATGTAAAATTGTCTCCCATGTTTTAAACCTAGTTTACTTTCCTCCCTTTACCTATCTGGACAGATCCCCGAATCCAGAAAACATGGCAGCATCACCTTGTTTTCCAACCCTTTTGCTGACACTCCTTATCCTGCCCAGGTGAAGGCCTCTCCGCTTCCCAGCGAGTGGAACGGCAAGACGGAGAGCTGCATCCTCAACATCAACTCCTCCATCTATGACGAGATCCAGCAGGAGATGAAGAGGGCCAAGGTGTCCCAGGCTCTGTTTGCCAAGGTGGCCGCCTCCAAGAGTCAGGTACAGACCCATATACTGACTTAGACGCCGGTTGCCATTTTGGTACAGACACGCAACATACAGTTCTAGGCCACAGACACTAAGAGCAGATCTCAGTTGACATTCTCGTTGCTATTTTAGTACAGACACACAGACCTACAGAACAACACCATAAGCAATAAGTATTATTTTCCGTTTTGCCACGCAGTAGAAGAGGGTTAACTGAGAAACTGGTATCATTTTGAGAGAGGACTGCAGAAATTGCCACTAAACATTTAAACAAAATGTTGAACAAAAGAATGTGTCTCAGGCTATCTCATTGGGAACGTATGTTATTAAACTATAAGTTACAGTTCTGTGGACGTTACAGCTTGAAATATAATACACACATCAATATTTACAGAGCTAATATTTTCATTTCATGCCTGAACTTGTCGTGGAGACAATTTGGCTCCTTCCCAGTGTGGTTGATGAAACATTAGAAAACAAAGGAATAAAACACAATATAAAACCAGATCTGGAGACATTCACCAGTTAGGGGGTTCAAAAACTGAAGCGCCACATTGTGCAACTCTGCTCTCTTCACCGACTGGTGATTTATCGTCATAATGACATATGTCTCCTATATTGTGGGTTTAGCGAACAGCAGACAGTGTTTCAACACAAAACAAACCTGTTTATATTAGCTGTGCTCTGAATGACTCTCAACTAAAGCGGAGCCTGTTATCTCGCCCAGGCAACAACCCACTCGTTGAATACCGGCTTGTGTGAGCAAAATTACCATCAGTTTAACTCTTATTAAAACTAATTAAAGAAATGCGGAGCAAGCCGTTATTATTAAAGGTTTCATATATCGGGGGAGCACAGTTGAAAATGTTTCCACAATTGTTACTTGATGAAGAAAAAGAAAATAGATTAAACAGGGGCCAAATTATCTGGAAATATCTGTGGAGGTTTTTATTTTTTTCGCTGATTGCGATGATTATAGAGCCAGATACCTTTGTTTTACCAAATTGCAGTTTGATGCACAAACCATTGTTTTTGTTCAGGAGTTCAAAGACTTTTTGGAAGAGAGGAGAGAAGAGGGTGAGAAAAAATATCTCTTCTCAGATTATCGTTTGTGAGTGAACAGGTTTCCACTGTGCTCCCTCCCTCCCTCCCCTCTCTCTCTCTTCTCTCCCTCTCTCTCTGTCTCTCTCTCGCTCTCTTCCCTCTCTCTTCCCTGTCTCCCTGTTCCTCCATTCATGGCGATGGAGGCGGAGGGTGTGAATGTGAATTGAGCAGCAGATAAGAAGTGTGCTAATTATGCCTGTGAAAGGGGGCCTGGGAGAGCACTTATCTCTGGCTCCATCTCGTAATGGGCGCTCCCCGGGCAGCTGGTGCCCCTCCCGGCCCAGGCCCACACCACCACCAGGGGCAGTGGCGGCTCCACACCGCACCAGGCCCAGACTCAGTACCAGAGACCCAGGTCCTACCCTTTAGCCCAGTGGGGGCTGCTGGTGCTGGGGTTGGAGTGTGAGGGAAAGAGGAGCTGGTGGTGGTGGATGGTGGTGGGGGATGGGTCCATCCATTGGGGATGTAGACTGGCAGGAGGAATGGGGGTTTTGGGGGAGGGGTCGGCTCATCCTCGATATGGAGGCTGGCACATGCGTGTCTGATTGGTGTGCCGTGCCCCCTCTGCTCACTGCCATGCCGGCAAAGTGCAGGAATTCTCGGTGGTCACACGCTCGCATGTATGCAGCCCACCACCCTGGAAGAGCTGGCAAATGGTGGGGGGTTGGAGGACAGGAGAGCTTGGCTCAGGCAGCTATTGTGTGTTTGTGTGTGTTTGCCTCGTCTAGCCCTGCCCCTGTGAAAGATAGATAGAGTGAGGAGAGGAGGGGAAAGGAGGAGCGGGGAGAAGAGGGGAGGAGATCTGAGAAGGGGAGCAGGGGGATGTGGAGTGGGAGAGGGTGGGAGCAGTGGTGGTCCCCTTGGTGGGAGAGCTATAAGCATGAGTTTAGAGATTGGCTTACACTCCAGTGTGTGTGTGTGTGTGTGTGTGTGTGTGTGTGTGTGTGTGTGTGTGTGTGCACGTGTGTGTTGGGTGGGGGATGGGGTTTGGAACACAGCCATCCCGTCCCCTCTCAGGGCTCGTAACCACAGCAGACCTCTCTTTCTGCCAGCCTTTAACTGGTAGGTCTCTCTCTCATATTCACAGTAGCATTTCAATCACCTTTTTAACCGCTACATTTTGGGTGCAGTGAGTAAGTACAATTTAAAATCTCCATTCCGCTGCTGGTTGACATCAAGTTCAGTCATGCAGCCTATATCTTGAGACTACAGCCTATTTTGATTTATTTGGTACAGCTATACATTACATTAAGATAGAATCCAATAACCCTTCATATTTCATTTTTATCAAATTTAGTTCTTATCAAATTCTAAGTTGAGCCAACATTCAGCTGTGGGAGATGTACTGTATACTAGTTTGAGCAGGTTGTTAGAGGGTAACTATAGTATTGAGGTAGCCTTTGTTGATGATGTAGCCTATTGGTTTGAAGCCAGCTACAGGAGACAATGCCGGCAGAATCCACAGCTAGCATTAGGAGACGCCCCTTTAGTTATAGCGTTCGAAGAGATGGAGGCTAGATTTTGATGAGAGCCCTTGTCAGTGCTAGCAAAGCTGCACCGGTAGAGGTGGTAGCTAACTAGCTGTTTGTTTTAGCTAGTGAAAGGGAGGCTATCCATATTGGCTAGGCTAACAGAGAGGATGTTTAGCTAGCTGTATGTCATTGGCTGCTAAAGGAGCGGAAGCTAGTGATGGGAGGCTAGCAGTGGGAGGCTAGCCGTGGGGAGCCCCTGACATGGCTTTGGTGTCTAAACTGCCTGACACACATCCTGAGACGGAGCTGTGATTGTCTGAATCAGAGTCCCTGCTGTCACACAACAAGCTATCCGGGAGCCCCTGCGCCACAGGGTTAGCTCTCATACCCCCCAACACACACACAGTGACCAGTGGAATACAGAAAAGAAACGCCACCACCAAGCACCTATCTCTCTCTCCCTCTCTCTCTCTGTCCGTCGTTCTCTCTCTCTTCCCTGGAAGAGGCTACGCTAATTAGCCAGGCTCTAATGAGACAGAATGGCACTGATCTGGTCCGCCGCTGCGCCACCAGGGGGGGGGGCAGGCAGGGGGTTGGTGCAGGGGGATGGCAGGGGGGGGGCTGGTGTGTGCCATCTGTCACTCTGCGCCCGCCTGGCACGGAGCTCTCCGGGGGGGTGGGGGGAGGGACACTGAGTGCCTCGCTGGTCTGGAGTGGAAAGGTGGAGAGTGGGAGAGAGAGAGAGGGGAGGAGGAGGGTGGTGGAATCACTGGACCTACCCCTCCTGCCTATAATTTCTGAAATGATTCATATCCTGGGTTAGTGGAATCTGTGTTGTTGTGTTTGACGCTTTACATCCATTCACACTCATATGGCCCAACCACCCCCTTAATACTCCTAGACCCCTCCCATCCTACCAAACCTGTCAATCAATTCTCACCAGAAATGTTGGGTTCCTCTCTCTGCTGAGTCTAAGAGGCAGATGTTACTGTAGATGACATTTGGAATGTAGACTCACTGCTTTGACAGAGTTGAATAATATCTGATCTTCTGAAGCAGGAAGAGTCTAGGGAGAAACTGGTCATGACCTCCTACACCATGAGTCATGAACCTAAAGATTAAAAAAATGTGAGGGGTTTATAACTTGACTGTTTTGCCTTCATGGATAATATGACTGGGGTGCGGTTATAGGGCTGATCCAGAGGGAAGTTATAAATTACCTCCCAAAGTTACACTTCTGTGTCTGTGGTGCAACGGCCAACAGAATATCTCCATTGTTTGTTTACAGACTCCGGGTTGTCTCCCTGCGAAGCCGAGGCAGATTAAAAACGAGAGAGCATCACCAAAAGGGAAATAAAGGCCATGACTGTTTATTAATTGATTTATTTATTTATCCGGTTGCTTGGTTATTAGGTTGCCGGGGAAACGGTGGCAGATCCTCTATATTATTAAAGAGACAATTTCTTGAACTGGAGACCCAGATGTCTGAATAATTAATTTAGTGTATGAATTATCTCGCAAAAGGCAGTTCCTCCTCCTCCGTCTGAAATGAGCATTTTTCTTATTGTTTAATGGACAGAGGAATCCCCACCAGCATCTAACCCACTCCCTCTCATTTCATCAACCCTCTGCTGTCTCACTGAGCATGCACATACCTCTCTACTGTACTACTCTACTGTCTGTTTCTCTCTCTCTCTCTCTCTCTCTCTCTCTCTCTCTCTCTCTCTCTCTCTCTCTCTCTCTCTCTCTCTCTCTCTCTCTCTCTCTCTCTCTCTCATTCACACACACCCTCTTTCTCTCACACCCTCCCATCTGCCTCCTGCTCTGCTCTTTCCCCTCCATCCTCCTCTCTCCCCTCTGCTCTTTTGCCCCTCTCCACTACACCTACTGTACCTACCTCCATCCCCACATTCCACTCCCCGACATTTGCCCCCCGCTGTCCCAAGTCTGAGGTAGCTCCCACCCTCCACGCCCCCGTTGCTTCTCCTTCCCAGGCCGGGCTAACGGTGTGGGGAGAGCCTCGCTCCAGCACTTTCCCACTATCTCCTCTGACAGACCACACAGGGCTTGTTCTGAGGCCCATTCTGGCTAATCTGATCAGGCAGGCAAATACGCCGGGAAAAGCGCTTTAATGATCCCCCTAATTACCTCAAGTCAATACCAACTGTATTATTAGACTCGGGGAAAATATTCCATTAGGGTGCCCCCTGTGGGAGTCCCCCCCCGTGCGCACCGATGTCACGCGCCGCGCGCCCCCACGCTTGTAATTAATTTTATTTACACACGCAGGAATGCACAAGGTCGCACCTGCAGCCCGGAGCCGCCCGACTCGGCCCGCCTAATCAGATCTGTCATAATTACCATTCTGCATGCTTCTGACACACGCCAGGAAATATTTCAATTTAACTACAGCCACTAGCTCCGGCAGATGCAGTGTGGGGATGTGTTAGTCTGTGTGTGAGAGAGAGAGAGAGAGAGGGGGGGGGGGGGGGGAGACAGAGAAGACAGACAGAGAGAGAGAGAGAGAGAGAGAGAGAGAGAGAGAGAGGGGAATTGCATGGGGAGACATTAGGGCCTATTCGAGTGCTTGTGTGCTCTCGCTCTCATTCTCTTTCATTCTCTCTCTCTCTCTCTCTCTCTGCTCGCCTTCTACTTGTTTCTCTTTAGACCTTGTCTCTTTCCTCACTCTTACTACGCACATTATTTCACAAAGTAGACTTCTCATACAGTATAGCTATGACTTTCCACATCAGTTCTCATTTCATACTTCATACAGAAGGTTAAGACGTCCCTCACATCTCATACATATCATTCATTGAAACCCTTGATTTTGACCAAAGTTCCTATTTGGAGATTAGAAAAATGTAACAGTCCCTTCCACCTGAAAGCAAATTTGTCGACCAATTACAGATGCTGCTTTAGCTGACATACACAATTTGCAGGTTTTCTGCTATTTTAATCCATAATTCAATAAGATCAGCCATGATTTATCAGCTTAATTATGCTCTGATATTAGCAATTAAACTCCAGCTTTGAATTAAATCTCAATCAAGTGCTTATAATTGATGGAATCACACTCCTTGTAGGTGATTGGTGTGTTCCTAATTCAGATTATGTTTAGCTCTGAAACTTCCCTCTTCTCTCTTCCTCTTTTGTGAGTTGGTGGTCCTTTGTGCGTTCATTCACTCTCTTACTTGTTCTCCTGTTTCTGTAGCTGCCTCAATACTATTGTGGACTCCATAGAAGATGTAAACAGAGGAATACTATAGTGATGAAGAGATTTTACTGTACTCTCTCTCTCGTGTTTAATAGTTATCAAAACCGGAATAGCTTGATTAGTTTTTTACACAGTCAACTGAACATGCCTCCTAATGTTTGACAAAGAGACCCTGCATACAACATAGCAATTTGTTTTGGGGCTTTTTTTTGTCATGGCATTTTGTAGCCTGGCAGAGCAGATCACAGATGTGTCATGTTCTGTATTTGAGGATTTTGACATTTCATTGACCTGCTCTGGTCATTCTGTCCCAGTTCTAAGTGTTCCCGTTTTAGGAATTCATACTGCAACTGTGACATTCTGTGACGATGAACCGATTGCCATTGTTCTGAGAGTAAATGCTGAGAATGAGAACGTTTCCTGCACAATCATGCTTTCACTCCGCAGAATGTGCAATGTAGATTTTCCAGTCTGCTATTGTTGACAACTGGCGCATTGTGATGCAAGAGGGCATGACCTTTCACTCAGTAAACGCTGACATTCCCAGCTGGTGTCTTTGACATCATAAATCTTCCACTGCGGGTCTGAAATGTGTCGGTCAAGACTTCTCATGTTGCAATTTGAAAATGAATACAGGGAAGCAGGTTGCCTTGTTTGTTTCAGATTGAGCAGATGTGGGTATGTATGCATACTCTACTGTTGACACTCCTGCAAAAGGGGTTAGGTAACGAATCTGGCAACCAATTCGAAGGAAGTCCACTTTGACAAGACATTAATGCATGTTTTTATGTAACGACAGGTTAAACTCTGTATAAATGGCCAAAATAAGGGATTTAAATTGTAGATTACATTATAGTCTGTTGAGCAATGTCTTTCCTACTAAGGCTTCACAATTTGACTGAATGGTTTTGTGCACAATTGCTTCAACACAAATCATCACGTGTTGTTTCTAAAGAGTGGTAATTGATCGATTCATTCTACAGCACAAATGCTCATGGACAGTCAGGCCCCAGTCCAATGAGTTATATTGCAGGGAGTCAGATGGTTATGAACAGTCAAGAGTATTACCATGTATTACCATGTCCAGGACAATCCCCTGCAGGATCAGTGAGTAAAGCCCAGGACCTGAGCTCTACCAGGTGGAACTAATGTAGTGGTGCACATTTCACTGTTCACTCTACTTGTTTTACCATTTACTAAAGGTGAATCCTGAAAACTATTGCAAAACATAATAGCTGTATACTTGTTCCAGGATTCATCCAATAGCATTAAGGAGTTTACCACAACAGTCACGGGCTTCATCAATAAGTGCATAGACGATTTCGTCCCCACAGTTACTATAAGTATCCAAACCAAAAATTACAGGCAATATCCGCGCTGGGCTGAAGGCTAGAGCTACCGCTTACAAGGAACGGGACACGGACATGGACGCATACAAGAAAGCCCGCTATGACCTCCGACGAGTCATGAAATATGCAAAAGGACAATATAGGAGGAAGGTGGAATCCTATTACACCGGCTCTGACGCTCGTCGTATGTGGCAGGGCTTGCAAACGAAAACGGATTGCAAAGGGAAACACAGCCGTGAGTTGCCCAACGATGCAGAACTCTGAAATGAGCGAAATGCCTTTTATGCTCGCTTCGAGGAATATAACAATGTGCCTTGCGTGAAAGTCACTGTTTTTCCAGATGACTGTGTGATCTCGTTCTCCGTAGCCGATATGAGAAAAACTTTGAAACAGGTTAACAATCACAAGGCCGTATTCCAGACAGAATACCAGGGTGCATTCTCAAAGCATGCGCAGACCAGCTGGCAAGTGTCTTCACTGACATTTTGAATCTGTCCTTGTCCCAGTCTGTAATCCCAACATGTTTCAAGCTGACCACCATTGTCCCTTTTCCCAAGAGCTCCAAGGTAACCTGCCTAAATGACTATTGCCGTGTAGCACTCACATCTGTAATTATGAAGTGCTTTGAAAGGTTAGTCGTGACACACATCGACACCATCATCCCAGACACCCTACACGCACTCCAATTCGCATACCGCCCCAAAAGATCCACAGAGGACGTAATCTCAATTGCACTTCACACTGCCCTCTCCCACCTGGACAAGAGGGAAATAACTATGTGAGAATGCTGTTCATAGACTACAGCTCAGCGTTCAACACCATAGTCCTCTCCAAACTTATCACCAAGCTAGGGAACCTGGGACTGAACCCCTCCCTCTGCAACTGGATCCTAGACTTCCTTACGGGCCGGCCCCAGGTGGTGAGGGTAGGCAAAAACACCTACACCACGCTGACCCACAACACGGGGGCCCCTCAGGGGTGTGTGCTTAGTCCCCTCCTGTACTCCCTGTTCACCCATGACTGCATGGCCACGCACAACTCCAACACCATCATCAAGTTTTCTGACGACACGACGGTGGAAGGCCTGATCACCGACTGGCTGCATCACCGCTTGGTATGGCAAATGCACCGCCCTTGACCGCAAAGCGTTACAGAGTGTGGTGTGGACAGCCTAGTTCATCACTGGGGCTGATCTCCCTGCCATCCAGGACCTCTATATCATGCGGTGTCAGAGAAGGCCTGAAAAATTGCCAAAGAATCCAGGCCACCCAAGCCATAGACTGTCCACTCTGCTACCGTCTGGCAAACAGGCTCCGAGACAGCTTCTACCCCCAAGCCAAAGACTGCTAAATAATCAATTAATGGTACCCAAACTATCTGCACTGACTCGCACACTTACTAGACTATATATACACACTACATTGGCAAACCCACACATCACATTCACATACACTACATACACTACATACACACATACACACACACACATAACACATACATGCATATCAACACAACACAAACACACATACATACAAACACACACACTTTTTACTCATATTATTATCTATCCTGATGCCTAGTCACTTTACCCTGGCTTCATGTACATATCTACCTCAAATACCTCGTACCTCTGCACATTGATCTGGGATTGGTACTCCCTGTAAATAGCTCCTCCTTGTAAATAGCTCCATTCTTGTGTATTATATTTTATTCCTCGTGTTACTATTTTATTGTATTATTATTTTTAAACTCTGCATCGTTGGTAAGGGCTCGTAAGCAAGCATTTCACGTAAAGTCTACACCAGTTGTATTCGGCACATGTGACAAATACAATTTTATTTTATTTGACTTATTTGTACTACTTACTCTACTTAAGTGCTTCAAAATCTTTACTCATTGTTTTATTATGGAATGAGTGAGACGTGTAGAAGGAATCCCAACTCTAGTCAGCACTGTAAATGCATGCTAAGAGTGTAGGATTTTTCAGGATGGCCACATGGTAGCTGGACCTCCAGTTCCCCCGGGGAAGAATGGTTGAGTTCAATTAAGGGCCTCGACCCCATTTCCCCCTCATTCTCACCCCTCTCCTCTCTCCATGCCAAATACTATTTGAATAGGTGCTCGGACCTGTCTTATTTGCATATTAAGACTTCCTCACACACACAAAACATTGGGTCCGTTTTCCACAGTCAATATTTGCTTATTGTTACGGCAGACTCGCATATGCCGAGCATCAAGCAGGTCGGTATTTCAACAGATGGGCATGATGCTGTATTTACAAACCAGTGCACATAACTGTGTGGGGTGAACGCGCTCTAAGGTGCACGCTCTTGCGGAGGAGAAACAGGTTTGAACATACCGTGTTATCAGCTGCATTTATCTGCATAGCATTGTCTGCTAGTGGAGCTGGGGCCTATGCCAGGTTCAAGGAGGGAAAGACAGTAATGCTTTGTCTCTCCCACGTTTTATTTCCCTCTCCCTCTCGGACACAGAGATGTGAGTCTGGCTGGCTCTCCCTCCTCTGACAAGTTCCACAAGTCCAGCCACAACAATGGATCGCAATCTTTTTCTCCCAACTGTCACAAGTTTTTTTTTTTGTTTCCCCTTCCCATAGCAGATGTTTTGCTTCTACAAGGTCAAATGTGCTTTTGTTTCAGTGTAGAAAATTACTGTATAAAGCACCATATTTAATTTGATTGTGTTATAATCCCCCCCACCTAACAAAAAGAGAATCAGAGTTGATGGACATCTGCCGGGTTATTTTTCGGTGGTGGACTGATGGGTCTGATAATGACCAAATGAGATTAGAGATAGGTGTTGGCCCTGCCGTGTGACTGTGGAGGCAGGTCTGTTTTTTTCCCCTCTCTCTCTATCTCTCTTCTCTCTCGTCTCTCTTCTCTCTCTCTCTCTCTCTCCTCTCGTCTCTCTCGTCTCTCTCTCTCCTCTCTCTCTCTCTCTCTCTCTCTCTCTCTCTCTCTCTCTCTTTTCCATACAAGGTTTCACAGCAGAGTGTTGTTTATTAATGCAGTAATGTGCGTCCATGATGTGGAGGGAGAAGGGATGGAGGTGAAGGGAGGAGGGGTGGGTGTGAATACCGGGCTGTTCCCTGACAGAGCAGGCCTATGCTCTCATTGGCAGCTTGTGACTGCTGCAGACACACACACACACACACACACACACACGGTACGGTGTGCCGCTGCATAGTTGGGTGAATCTCGCGCATGAATTCTGCCATTGTGTTCGGAGCAAAGTAAATCAGAGTGCCTGGTTGCTATTTATACTATGCTATACAATGGGAGCTCTGCTAGGCTGCTGCTGAAGACTTTATTACTCTGTCACTCTGCACCTCTTGACCCCTCAGCCCGTGTGCTGACGGTCAGATTGGATGAAAAAAAAGGCAGGGCGGTCACTCTCCACACCGCTCCATTCTTCATGCTAATCATTATGAATAATACATTTTCATTTATAGAGAGCTCTTCACTAACTCTGAGAGAGTTCGAGGTAGTTCAGAATTGGTGAGCAGTGTAAGTACATGTATTCAAACAGTGTTGTTAGGGGAGAAATTAACAATATGGACGTAGCAACAGAGATGTTTGGTTCTTATTGTAAGTGCCTGTTTCAACACAGTGCACAACATGCATGTTGCATCAACCTAATACCTATTACACCAATTGATGCTGCTTATACATTTATGCAAAGTCTATCTAAAGTTTCTAAAGTCTGCACAATTTCAATTAGAAGTTGAAACAATGGTTAAGTCATAGAAATCGACTGATAGTGTAACAGTAAACTGGAACACCATTTTAGATTTTTCCACCACGTCACATTGTCGTTGTGACTATTAGACTGAAATCCTCACTCCAAATGAAGTTTTCACCTCACGTTTTTGACTGAAACCGACGTTTTTTCCCCCTGCGTTTACTGGCAAGAGAGCTGAGTGTCACCTCCTCTGACCAGCTCTCCATACCTCTCTTTCTCCCCTCAATGCTTCTGCCAGGCCTGTGGAAGCAATGCAATTAGACAAACACAAACACGACTTCAGCTCTTTAAACCACCAGGGAAAACGCTGACTGTCCACTTGTGTGAGGACGACTGAGGGAAGCTGCCATTTTGACATTAGCTACACTTTTGTGATAATTTTACCAGTTTTTGCGTAAATGTTAAACTTCTCTGCGTCAAACTTCCTTTACTTTAGTCTTACAACATTCTATCAACGAGCTTTCAGCAAAATATAAATAGTATAGGGACAACATATTAAGAATTTACCTCATGTTTTTACTGTAGTTAATTTATGTAAGGACTTTCCAGAATTACTATGGGGTTCATGTTGGCATTTTGTTTGACTGACTTTAGTACTTTGGGTTTAATCCTGCTGGTTTGGGGAGTGTTTGAGTTGGATTACTTAATCGCGGCCTGGGTAGTGTGGTTCAGTTCTGGCTCGGAGGAGGCGGGGAGGCATGTGGGGGCGAAAAGAGGGGTGTTCCTCAATACTGAATCAGCCGAAACCAACAGACATCAGAGTGGTAACGCGGTCCAAATCCCTCTGCATGCAAATTAAAAAAGGCAACAATAAACGTGGCAGAGGAACAAGGTGGGCTCTCTGTCCCTCTCTCTCCTTCTTTCTCACTCTCTATCTCTCTCTTCCTTGTTCTTTCCCCCTCTCTCTTTCCCTCTCTCTCTCTCCCTCCCTCGCTCCCGGCTTTCTCCAAAACCCTCCTGGGTTTGATGTGGCTTAGGGGAGGAGTTGGAACAGGGGACAACATAAATGCTGAGTTATCTCTTGCATGCAGTGTGGTGGCGTGGCTCTGCCCCTGTGTGTGTGTGTGTGTGTGTGTGTGTGTGTGTGTGTGTGTGTGTGTGTGTGTGACCAGCGCAGTGTAATCCTGTGGAAATGAAAGGTGCTGCCGCACACTGGGTGGGAGATTACAGCACTGCTCTGTCACGCTGCCAGGACAGACTACCGGCTGAACAGCTTCACTCGCTCTCCCTTCACTCCTCTTTAACTCCCTCTCCCCTCCCTCCCTCTCTCCCCCTCTCTCTCTCTCCTCTCTCTCTCTCTCTCTCTCTCTCTCTCTCTCTCTCTCTCTCTCTCTTTCTCTCTCTCTCTCTCTCTCTCTCTCTCTCACACACACACTCACACTCACATTCTCGCCCTCCTGCAATGAAGCTGCTTTCCCTCCCTCCATCCTGCCTTTCCACCCTTTACAGCTCTCTCTTAGCCACGGTCATTTAAAATTCACTATTTTTCTGTCTGTTTCTATTCCTTGCTTTCTCTCTCTCTCTTTCTCTCTCTCTATCGCTCTCGCTCTCCCTTTCTGGCTCCCTCATTCTCTACTCTTCATCTCACACTATTTTCTCTCACCCTCTGCTTCAGTTCTGTCATGGTGATCCTCCCCCTGCCCTGCCCTCACACGGCCCAGTTGAGTTCCCTCCACATTTAGTGCTGTATAACTGAGTCACAGGACCTCATCACAGAGCTCCATAGATGGGCTCCGTCTCTACTGTACTGTACCGCTCAGTCACACACACACACACAAGCTCCCTTTGACTGGGGCTTCTCAGATACATGCTCTGTGTAAATTCATATTGTGTAGCTACAGTCCTCTATGGCCCACAGTCCCATCTCTCATGGCCCTCTGCTGGGCTAGATTATAATGTTTCATGTAAACTGTTAAATGGGTTCTTCATGTTGTGCTACATACTATGAATACTACATACATGTGTATGTTGTCATACCTAATGGTCACAGAATGTGCTCTTCTGCTGCCCTTGGAATTGTATTATATTGGCATGTTACAGGAATGGGCTGAAAGTTATAGCTAAGGGTACACTCTCCGCCCCTGGTTAGGGCTTTCTTTCTGTGTGAGTACAGCAGTTGAATGGAGGGTTAGGCTAAACCTCTCTGTTGTTTTCTTTCTGTATAGGGCTGGCTGTGTGAGCTTCTGCGCTGGAAGGAGGACCCCAGCCCGGAGAACCGTACGCTGTGGGAGAACCTGTCCATGATCCGCCGCTTCCTGAGCTTGGCCCAGGCAGAGCGTGACGCCATCTACGAACAGGAGAGCACGGCCGGCCAGCAGCAGCACCACGCCGACCGGCCCTCGCACATGATGCACATCTCCACTGACCCCATGCAGGTGAGGAGGCAAAGACATGCACATTAATACATACATTAATACATACATGCACACACACAAGCGCATAAATACACATTGACATGTACACACACATACATATACGTACATATGTGCAGTGGACACATGCATATCCATTGAAGATGAGAGGAGATACACAGACACACACACACACACACACACACACACACACACACACACACACACACACACACAGACACACACAAGCACAGACACCAACTCTGATGTCTGTACCCACAGAACCCAACTCTGATGTATATGTCCCACACAGACCCACTACAGGTGAGAGAGAGAATTTGTATTCTTTCATTTATGTTGTGATTTCAGTTATACAACCAGTATTATCCCTTAGTTTTACATTGTAATTATCTGGTTTTCGTAATAACCAGCAGTTAGGGGACATTTCTACAAATGAGCTCTATTAATCACAAACACAGTAATAGTCAAAGTTTGTGTTTTTGATGAAATACTATAACAAAGTTACCCTTACTTTTAACTTATCTAAGTTTTCCTTTTAAAAGGCAGCTAGCAAATGAACACAGAAACCTGAGACTCACTTTAAACGTTTAAAACTGTGAATTCTAAACATAAATACTTATATTAAACATAGTGGCAGCTGAATGGCTGATCAGTTATTTTGTTAGCCAGAAACATATGGCCAGTCCCATACAAAAGCACCAGTGTAGAAATACCGTAATCAGATTTTTCTCATCGAGCCTAATATCAGATAAAAAATGTGGGATACTTCTCAGAAAAGTTAACTGCTAATGGAATATAAATTATTTGGCTTCTGTCACGCCCTGGCTCTGGGACTCTGTTATGTTGAGCCAGGGTGTGTGGTTTCTATGTGTTTTGTGTGCTAGGGTGATTGTCTAGTTTGTTTGTTTCTATGTTGGCCGGTGTGGTTCTCAATCAGAGGCAACGTGAATCAGCTGTTGCTTGTTGTCTCTGATTGGGAACCATATTTAGGTAGCCTGTTTTTCCGCAGTGTTTGTGGGATCTTGTTCCGTATGGTTTGTGTTGTAACCAAGGACTTCACGTTTCGTATCGTTTGTTGTTTTGTTTGTGTGGTGAATAATAAATAAAGTATGTTCACATTCCACGCTACGCATTGGTCCACTTCTTCTCAAGACGACGTGACAGAAGATCCCACCATAACTGGACCAAGCAGCGTGTCCAGGAGCCAACGCCAGAGGTGACTCTGAAGGATATCAACCTCGACTGGGTCAAGCCGCGGGAGGAGGAGAGAGGCTGGACTTTGGAGCAGAGGAGCGAGAGTCTGGCGAGAGCCATGGAGGCCTGGCCCACGGGGAGGAGAGACGCCCAGAATTTTTTTAGGGGGGGGGCTCACGCCGTGGACGACGGGGCAGCAGGAGGCCGGGATAGAGTGGTTCAGCGGGTTGGCAAAGGAGGCCGCCAGGTTACGGGAGTCACTGGTCACCAGGGGGAAGGAGAATGTAGAGGCACGGCGAGAGGTACTGGGGTGTGTTGCCAGTCCGGTCCGGCCCGTTCCTGATCCCCGCGTAGGGCCAGTGGTGTGTGTCCCCAGTACGGTCCGGCTTGTTCCTGTCCCTCGCACCGAGCCTGTGGTGCGCGTCGCCAGCCCGGTCCGGCATGTTCCTGCCCCTCGCACCGAGCCTGTGGTGCGCGTCGCCAGCCCGGTCCGGCATGTTCCTGCCCCTCGCACCAAGCCTGTGGTGCGCGTCGTCAGCCCGGTCCGGCCTGTTCCTGCTCCCCGCACCAAGCCAGTGGTGCGCTTCGTCAGTCCGGTTCAGCCCGTCCCTGCTCCCCGCACCAAGCCTGTGGTGCGCGTCGTCAGCCCGGTCCGGCCTGTTCCTGCTCCCCGCACCAAGCCAGTGGTGCGCTTTGTCAGCCCGGTTCGGCCCGTCCCTGCTCCCCGCACCAAGCCAATGGTGCGCGTCGTCAGCCCGGTCCGGCCCGTCCCTGCTCCCCGCACCGAGCCTGTGGTGCGCGTCGTCAGTCCGGCACAGCCCGTGCCTGTTCCACCGGTGCCTGGTCCGGCACCGGTCAGCTGCTCCACTCCGGAGCTAGAGCAATCCGCTCCACCAGTGTTCAGTCCAGCTCCGGCCAGCAGGGCCAGACCGGACCAGGGGCGCTTTGGGGGGTTGGTTGGAGGGTGGGGGTCAAGCCCGGAGCCGGAACCGCCTCCGAGGAGGAATGCCCACCCGGCCCTCCCCTGTTCGGTTTATGTTTGGCACGGTCGCAGTCCGCGCCTTTGGGGGGGGGTACTGTCACGCCCTGGCTCTGGGACTATGTTATGTTGAGCCAGGGTGTGTGGTTTCTATGTGTTTTGTGTGCTAGGGTGATTGTCTAGTTCGTTTGTTTCTATGTTGGCCGGTGTGGTTCTCAATCAGAGGCAACGTGAATCAGCTGTTGCTTGTTGTCTCTGATTGGGAACCATATTTAGGTAGCCTGTTTTTCCACAGTGTTTGTGGGATCTTGTTCCGTATGGTTTGTGTTGTAACCAAGGACTTCACGTTTCGTATCGTTTGTTGTTTTGTTCGTGTGGTGAATAATAAATAAAGTATGTTCACATTCCACGCTGCGCATTGGTCCTCTCTTCCCGACGATCGTGACAGCTTCAAGAAAAATGCCTCAATACTGTAATACATAGAGGAACTACTAACACTTGCACTTCATAGTGTTTATTGGTGTTCATGTTGAAACTCTGTCAACCCAGGTCAGTCGATTGATTAAAAAGCTTGTTCTCAAGAGAGACCTGCTGCAAAACAGTGACGCACAGACGTAGAGAGAAGCCAGCACTCATTGGCTAACCCGCCCTTATTAAAGCTCCCTATATGTGTGTGTTCTAGTGTTAAATGGGATCTTTGAGTGAAGCTGTGCAGCTGGCCGATAAGCTATCTGTAAAGTGCTGTGTTTTCTAAACTTCATTACCAAACTCCAATTGGAGTGGGTCTGACTCAGGAAGAAAAACTTTGTGTGTTCAATAAGGAGAACGAGTTGCCCACTCAACAATCTCTCCACGCAAACAATGAGACATTTTAGGAGTAATGTGTCATGTGTTTACACTAGCGGGATACCGACGGCAAAGCAAAGCCATCGTTAGCATTCTCACACCCATGGCAATCGGCGGCGATCGCGTTTTGAATTGTACACACATTGAGTTTGTTTATCGCGGTCTGGCAATATCATTTGAATGGGGTCTGATAAGCTCGATAGTACCAACCAGAATGCACAGTTTCCGTGTGAATTCTCAGTGTCTCAGTGTCTGTGTACGTGTTTGCATGCGTGTGTGTCGTGTATGTGTGTGTGTGTGCATGTGTGCACGCGCAGGTTTATATGTGAATGCTGGTAACTCTACCCCACAATGAAAGACACAATTTCCACATGAAAATATCTCAAGAACTGATTACATTCAATAAGATATTACATGGAAATTCCTCCAGCGGAGCGCCTGTTCTATACACAGTGGGACCATTTTTCTACACAACTCAATTGATTTGAATGAAAGGCCTTATTAAGTCACCGATAAGTGTTCACTGATAACATCCCGTCTCTTGTCCCCCCCCCCCCCCCCTTTTTCCATCACAGTCTCAGACCCATCAACCGCCCCAGCCACAGCAGCAGCATCAGCCCCCCATGTCCCTCCAGCACCCCTCCCAGCCTCCACTGTCCCAGCAGTCCATGCAACAGCAGCAGCAGCAACCACCAATGGGCCCCCGGCTGCCCCCTCGCCAGCCCTCCACCGCCTCCCCAGCAGAGACAGAGGACGAGGGCCACGGCGGCGGGGGCACCAAGGCTCGCTCCGGCGGGGGCAAGATCTCCCTAGAGGCCCTAGGCATTCTCCAGAGCTTCATCCAGGACGTGGGGATGTACCCAGACGAGGAGGCCATCCACACCCTGTCGGCCCAGCTTGACCTGCCCAAGCTCACCATCATCAAGTTCTTCCAGAACCAGCGCTTCTACGTCAACCACCCGGCCAAGCCGCCCAAGGAGCCCAGCAATAGCAGCAGCAGCAGCCCGGCCTTCGAGGAGGAGCTGTCGGACTTCAGGGAGGGCAGCGCCGAGCTGCTGAAGGAGCTGGAAGAGAGAACACAGACCAACAGCACCATCTTCTCCATCAAGATCGAGGAGCACCTGGCCCGCGCCGAGCCCCACTCAGAGTCTGACCACGAGGCCAAGGAGTAGAGAGAGCTGCCCCCAGTCTGAACACTGTGCTGAAAGAGTAGTGTTGCTGTACAGACAGAGACTGAATGCAATGCTAAAGGGTAATGGTCTGACTAGCGCAGTGCGACCGCTGCGAGAGAAAAGAGTAGTGTTTTTATCAATGCAGAGTCTGGACTCTATGCGTACGAGTAGCATTTATATATCAATGCAGACTGAAAGACTACGCAACGCTAGCGTTCTCACACTGGAAACCCCCTCATTTCCACAGACTACAGTAATACGAATAAGTATTGCTTTTTCTGATTTTGTAAAACTTGTATTATTCACTGTAAAGACTGATGCATCATTTAAATAACCTGCACAAAAGAAAGTATTCTTAAGTATATTGCCGTGGATATTTGCTGACTGCACTTAATGTCTGTTGTTTTACACTGATTTTCTTTCTTTTTGAGCTACTGATATTATAATAAAAAGTCCCCATGGAGTTTGATAGGACTTTGATAGGTGTTTACGTATGTGGTGTTAACTGGATTTTTAAAATGCATATGAAATCGAGGACCAAGTGGATGACAAGGCCTTAATGATAAGGTACTAAGTCTGGAAGCCTGCTGGCAAATTAGTTATTCTTTGAAAAAGCGAAAAACATGACAGTGATTATGGATCACTCAAACTCTGGAACGCAAAACGCACCCCAGGTGCGTCGCCGAGAATAGCTCAATCGTTACATATTATTTGTTAGGAAGAAATATAAATATATATATAGACATTATATTAACTGTAAAAAAAAAAAAAATACAGTCTTAAAGAAACTATGCCAATAAATGCCTTGTACTATATGGCACTGCCGATTAGATTATTTTGCAAAACCTTTGTCACTGTAACTTTCTGAATCAGCCACACAGTTTTAAAATGTGAATCACAAACTCTGTTTTTTGTTGTCTTCTACATTATTTATTTGCAGTTCATGCAGTGTTTCTGATGTAATTACTTTTTTTGGAAAGTTTGTTACAAAGCGCTTTTTTTATTTCACTGATCCTTTTCTATTTATAAATGTAATTTTGATTGGCAGTAAAAACAAAAAGTGTCTTAACGTTTTAAATGGAAAATGTGCTTTAAAGGTTGCCTATAAAAGTGCTGTATGTCAAGCAACTCATGCTACAAGCTTCACAATTAATGTTGTATGCAATTTTTACTATCATGCAAATAAGATTAGGTAAATTACTAACCTATAGAACACCTTAGAGAGAGAAAAACATATGCAATCTGTGTGAATATTGATGTCTGCAATGTGTCTTCCTTTGGTTAACAATCCAATTCAAAGCTATTCCTGTATAAATATCCTGTATAAAAAAGTGTTTCTTTTTTATTAGTTTATTTCAATGAGAACACCAGTTATTTTGTTACAACTGACTGTTTTATAAGTGTTTCTCGGTTTCTTTATGCAGAAATTGTCTAACTAGGAGTGGTTCTTTATTGTAATTACACAATTAAACGGTTTGTATTGTACCCCAGATTCTTGGCATTCATGTGACCGTACTCCTTGCGCCTATAGAAGGTTTCTCTTACCATATTCAACAGTAGATATCAACAACATATAATGACTTTTCAGTCAAATTAGTTTGTAAGTATCACATTTTATAATTGTCTGATTTTTTTTGTGTGCAAAAGTTAACACTTTTAACAAATGCGCATATCCAATACCTTTGAAAACCACTGTACATGAGCTCCACTCTTGCATATTTTATCTTGATACTGTCCTGAGCGTCTGAAGTAACTGTGAGACCTGAGTAATAAATAAAAGTGGGGTGTTAATACCTGTGCTAACGAAGCCCTCTACAGGGAGAAAACGTGTCAAAACAGCACATGTGCCCTGACCTCTCCCTGAACCCCAGGTGAACTCAGGTGTCTGTCTGCTCCACACTGAAATTACCATAAACTGTTAACACCCTCGGATATGTGCCAGCCAGTCTGGGCTGGATTCCCTCGATGTTTTGCTATTTTTTTCCTTTTTCAAAATAAAGGCCAGTTTAACATTGTGTGTGTTTGAAGCAAAGGAGGAGAAATATACAGATGCTTGAATCACATATTCACATGAGGGGATTCTAAGGGGTTCAATCACCAGAGATTTGAGTTCTTGAGCACTTTAGGTTATTTATAATTGAAGGGGAAATGGTCACAGTAGTTTAACAAACACTGTACACTCTTAGAAAAAAAGGTTCTATTTAGAACTTTAAATGGTTCTTCGGCTGTCCCCATAGGAGAACCCTTTGAAGAACCCTTTTTGGTTCCAGGTAGAAAACCCTTTTGGGTTCCATGTAGGACCCTTTCCACCGAGGGTTCTACATGGAACCCAAAAGGTTTCTATGTGGAACCCGAAAGGGTTCTCCCTGGAACCAAAAAGGGTTTGCCTATGGGGACAGCCGAAGAACCCTTTTGGAACCCTTTTTTCTAAGAGTGTACATACCAGGGTTGGGATCAATTCTGAATTGAGTTACAAATGGCTCTTTAATTCCAATTCGAATCTTGAATTTGAATTGAATTTGAAATGGCCACACCCCACATGAAGCAGCATTTGAATTGAACGAAGTAGAATTGAATTAAATTCAATGAAATTCAAATGGCTCATTTATCACCATAGACATTTTTATTTTGGCATGATGTATGGTTACCAATAACATGTAGCATAAGGTTGAAACATTTCATTTTTAAAACTCATTCTTCTAAAACAATTTTAAATACAGTGGTCTGGAAATATTCTAAGATCATGTTGTGGGTTGTCTATAATAATTCATAATTCCCTTAATGTTTTAAAATATCTGAAAAAATACATTTCCCAGAATGCATTAGATCAAACACTGCAGTATGGAAGGAAACAATATCTCATGACAAAGAAAAATACTGTTTGACATCTTTGAGTTATAATCAAACTAAATTAATGTCTGAAATGGTATGTGTATTATCAAATCAAAGTTTATTGGTCATGTACACAGTTTAGCAGATGTTATACTGGGTGCAGTGAAAAGCTCGTGTTACTAGCGCCTAACAGTGCAGTAAAATGTCAAACAAGTACATAAACAATCAAAAAATAAAAATAAAAATCAAGAAATGTCAGAACGAATTCAATTAACAACCCAAATAACACTGCATCAGTCATCCTAATGCAATCTATGCGTATACACTACTGGTCAAAAGTTTTAGAACACCTACTCATTCAAGGGTTTTTCTTAATTTTTACTATTTTCTACATTGTAGAATAATAGTGAAGACATCAAAACTATGAAATAACACATATGGAATCATGTAGTAACCAAAAAAGTGTTTTATATTTGAGATTCTTCAAATAGCCACCCCTTGCCTTGATGACAGCTTTGCACACTCTTGGCATTCTCTCAACCAGCTTCATGAGGTAGTCACCTGGAATGCATTTCAATTAACAGGTGTGCTTTCTTAAAAGTTAATTTGTGGAATCTATTTCCTTCTTAATGTGTTTGAGCCAGTCAGTTGTGTTGTGACAAGGTAGGGGGGTATACAGAAGATAGCCCTATTGGGTAAAAGTCCATATTATTGCAAGAACCGCTCAAATAAGCAAAGTGAAACGACAGTCCATCATTACTTTAAGAAATGAAGGTCAGTCAACACGGAAAATGTCAAGAACTTTGAACGTTTCTTCAAGAGCAGTCGCAAAAACCATCAAGCCCTATGATGAAACTGGCTCTCATGAGGACTGCCACAGGAATGGAAGACCCAGAGTTACCTCTGCTGCAGAGGATAAGTTCATTAGAGTTACCAGCCTCAGAAATTGCAGCCCAAATAAATGATTCACAGAGTTCAAGTAACAGACACATCTCAACATCAACTGTTCAGAGGAGACTGTGTGAATCAGGCCTTCATGGTCGAATTGCTGCAAATAAACCACTACTAAAGGACATAAGAAGAAGAGACTTGCTTGGGCCAAGAAACACCAGCAATGGACATTAGACCGGTGGAAATCTGTCCTTTGGTCTGGAGTCCAAATTTGAGATTTTTGGTTCCAACCGCCGTTTCTTTGTGAAATGCAGTGTGGGTGAACGGATGATCTCCGCATGTGTATTTTCCACGGTGAAGCATGGAGGAGGAGGTGTTATGGTGTGGGGGTGCTTTGCTGGTGACACTGTCTGTGATTTTATTTAGAATTCAAGACACACTTAACCAGCATGGCTACCACAGCATTCTGCAGTGATACGCCATCCCATCTGGTTTGAGCTTAGTGGGACTATCATTTGTTTTTTAACAGGACAATGACCCAACACACCTCCAGGCTGTGTAAGGGCTATTTTACCAAGAAGGAGAGTGATGGAGTGCTGCATCAGATGACCTGGCCTCCACAATCCCCCGACCTCAACCATCTTGAGATGGTTTGGGATGAGTCGGACCGCAGAGTGAAGGAAAAGCAGCCAACAAGTGTTCAGCATATGTGGGAACTCCTTCAAGACTGTTGGAAAAGCATTCCAGGTGAAGCTTGTTGAGAGAATTCCAAGAGTTTGCAAAGTGGTGGCTATTTGTAGAATGTCAAATATATTTTGATTTGTTTAACACTTTTTTGGTTACTACATGATTCCATATGTGTTATTTCATAGTTCTGATTTCTTCACTATTATTCTACAATGTAGAAAATAGTAAAAATAAAGAAAAACCCTTGAATGAGTAGGTGTTTGTAGTGTCGAGAACTATGCTGAGATGCTGTGATGACAAGAAATCCACTGACACTGTCCTCGATTATAATTATTTATTACATTGAAGATTTCAGCGCCAATTTACAGACTTCTGCAAACATCTGGAGAACAACCGGCCCAATCTCTTAATATGTTGTTCTCCCCCTCCTTTGTCCCAACCAAGGTATATATATCCTATGTAACCTGATATGGGTGTTTTCCCCTAGAGGCCAATCCCTGGACGCCACATAACAGACATCCTCTGTTTTAGGGTGCCCCTATAGAAATGCTCTCCAGATGCTTCCACAAGCTGAGTCAACTTCCTCTAAG